CATGCTATAAATTTATTGCGAAGATAGTTGAGTCAATGCTGTACGTATTTCAATTGTCATAATTAGTTATTAATAAATAGTTTAGTAGCAATTATTAACTCTGAAAGTTTATATTTAAAAAGAATATATTTTTTATGTCAAACATTTTAAAACTGTAAGAGATTAAAACCAATGCAATCCCTGAACTAATAATCAATTACTTATTAATTTACATGAATTAATTATTTTATGGAATAAAAAATAATCCATGTTTGTTGTTTTCAATTCAATTTCCATTCATCTTTCATCAACGAAAATAATTAATATTTAATTATAATGAATTAATAAAAACAGATGTTTTCACATGTAGCAAGATCACAAGGCGTTTCCTTCGCTAATTTACTCAATAATTAATATAATTTATTCGCATCTCGTGTTTTTTTCTTCTTTTTCTTCTTCGCCGAAGAAACAATACCGACAAGAACAATAAAACCAATTTCTATAATTTTAGTTGTTTCGACTTTACCTAAAGTTAGTTGTAAGTTTACCAAACCGAGTTTACCAAAGTTTCAATGCCATTGCACTCCGTGACTTGCCTAAACTTTAATTCGGGTAGATTCGAGAACGAAGCCAAACAAAAAGCAACTGTAACTTATATTAACTAAGTAAGTAAGTACTAATATTGCTACATAATCTAATAATATGTTAAAGGTATGCATAACTGTTTGTCATTTCATAAACCTAACCTTCAATCAAAGTCATGTAGGTGAATATTTTTAGTTTTTGATAAATAATCATAATATATTGAGTTTTTATTTAATTAAATAAAAACTAATCATCAAAAATTAATAAATAAAATATCAATACTTCAAAAATTAAAGAATCTTTCATCTCTAAAATGTTCAAATGAGTAATATTAATACTTTTTGAACTAAAACCCGATTTCACCTGATATAACACTAACAAATTTCCGAAAAAACGCAGCCATAGTTTACCACTTAATTACTCCAAAACTAATCAATATATTTTAATGAAGAACACCTCATTAAATCCCAATTTTAGGTATCTTTAATATATGAAAAAGGCAAACTTCAAATATTAATAGTTTTCAAGTTATTTCAATTATGATCAACTATTAGCTTTAAATGTTAATTACGCGAAAACTAATTAATAAATAATAAATATTAAAACGCAAATATATTCAATAGTACTTCCAGTTTATCTCTAACAAATTTAATAACTCTGACTACAATAGTTTAATTGTTATTAACAAAAAACTATCAAAAATCATAATTTTTATCCTATTTTTCAGTTTTTTTTTTTAAATTACATAAAAACTAATAATAATAAATTAATAAATTATATACCAACAACTCAAAAATTAAATTATCTTCAATCCCTAAAATTTTCAAAAGTATAAAATTAATACTTTCTGACTTATAACCCTTTTCACCTCTTATCCAAGATAAACTCCATCACAATTCACTCAAAATTAAATGAAATGAAATTCTCTCACATAACAATACCTCACTTCACTTCACTTCACTTCCCTGCTCTTCTCCTCCATGCCACACGTCTGAGAATGAGATTAGTAGATTCTATTATCCCGGATAAAATTCATACGTAGTTAATTCGCCGCTCTCGAAATTCGCGCGGCGCGATTAATTACGCCTCTTTGGCTCATTTTAAGCTTTTTAATCAAAAGTTACACGTTCGCTTGTCGCTCTCGCCGCGTCTAAATTTACAACAATCGGCGCACGGCGTGCCCCCAATAAATGTTTAATCATCGCACAGTCAGAGTGCAAGCAACCGAAGTGGTTTTATTTTTAGTGCGTTGGACTCGCTGTTTAATTACTGCAGTAAGTATACATAATACGAGTACATGCGCGAGGTTGCAGTTGTTTTATCAATTTAGAGCGATGATTAGCGACGTATGACAGCTGCAAGCAGTGTTGTATGTTTATGATAATGAATAATTATGTAAACATGTTTTATTGTGGTTTTTGTTCGTAGGTGGTAGTAGAAATAGAGTTGAAGGTTTAGTTTTTTGTTTATAACTTTTAAAATATTGAATTTATTTTGAAAATTTCTTCAGGGGACGTTTAAGTGTTAAATTGTGAATGTGATTTTGTAAAAATTTTGTTGCTAGCAGTTATATATCAGAAGTTATGGATCAATTTATAATAATTTTCAAGCAAATTTTGATTAAATTTAACTTTAATTGTTAATAACTCTTTATGCAATAATCCTATCAACAAAGTTATATAAGAAATAAATATAGAATTCAGTTAAGAATCTATTTTCGAATGAATTGTATTGTTATCACTGATAGGTTGGAAGTAATTCATAAATATTATTGTAATAACAGTATTTGGTGCGCCACTACTAGTATTATTGCAACAGTTCGGTTTTTCATTAATAACTTAAAAATGAATCAAGTTATTTCGAAAATTTCTTCAGAAGGCTTTTAATTGTTAAATTGTTGATCTGATTATGAATAAATATGATTGATGGCAGTTTTATATCAGGAATTATAGACCAATTTATAACAATTTTTATGTAAATTTTGACAAAATCTAATTTTAATTGTTTATAACTTTTTATGCAAAAATCCCAACAGCAAAATTCTAAACCAACTAGATGAAAAATTTAATTAAGAATACATTTTTGAAAGAATTGGGTTCTTATCACTGATAGTTTTCAAGTAATTCCCTAATATTGTTGCAGTATCATTACTTGGCGCACCACTATTATTATTGCAATGCTCAAGTTATTCATTAATAACTCGAAAACTGATCAACTTATTTTGAAAATTCTTTCAGAAATCTATTCATTATTAAATTCTGCACCCCACAGTATCAAGATATCACTGATAACAGGTTTTAATTAAAAGTTACAGACTAATTAAGTTCAATTTTATAATTTTTTTCTACAAACTTCAATTTTAATTGTTAATAACTTTTTATCCTATCATCTTAACAACAAAATATTTACCTACGAATGTGTAGAATTTAATTCTGAATCAATTTCCTAAACAAACATTATTATAACCCAAATAGTTCCCTTGTTATTAATTAATAACTAAACTATTCACCCAAACAAACAAACAAAATCAAAACACGCGTGTGAACCTTTATCTCATCTCATCCTCTCTCCGGAATCTCGACTATGGCTATAATTAAAACACAACAAAACAAAACAAAAGCAAGAAAGCCATGATAATGAAAGAGTATGAATGATACATTAATCGATTGGGAATTTCATTGGGCTCGCCTCTTATCAGTTTTCAATTCGAACTCATTCATTGAGTGAAGTATGACTCACAAAACAAAAGTTTTAAAACATTTCATATTTTAATATTAAATTACGGATAAACTACTGTATGAAAATATCCCAATAGTATATATTTTGATTGTAGATTAATAAACTTTAAAATAATCCATATTTGGTAAGTATAACATTGATAGTATAAATGTTATTAACTAAAAAAGAAACCAAATGCATTTATCACTATATTTCACTTTGCAGGTTAACTACTTGAAAACTACGCAATAAAAATGAATTATTTAAACTGCATTATGTAGAGTGTTTATTATAGTTTATGTAGAGCACATTTCACATACGTACCTGTTATTGTTTAACTGTTATCAACAAAAATAAATAGTTTTTCATAAAGTTTCTTAAAGTTTTCTTAAAGTTTCACATTTAATTACTCAGAATCTAATTATCGAAAATAAATGAGTAATACTTATTTGGTTAAACAATTTAATTGTTTATAAAATTGAAAATGTTAAAAACTGTAACTTGTTTGGTTTAAAAGTTATAACATCAAAACTAAAAAATGTCAAAAACAACAAATTTTAATATTAAAACTATAATTACAGAAAAACTACAAAAGATAATTTTATTATTTAAACGGAATCATATTTATGAGTTATTCTACTTTGTTTACTAAAAATTTGAAGTATAGATCACGTTTTAATAAAAAGTTATTAACAAAAAACTAACAATTCGGTTATACAGCAATTTTTCTTTACTAATGTACAAGTTTACGAATTAATTACATAAAAACAAACTTCTCTATAGTAATAAACTATGCAAATTACGATAAAAGCACTAATTGTGCATAATTTACGAAAGTAAGAACAATGTACCTTAAATAGTTTCAAAGTTATAACCTCAAAAGTAAAAAACATGAAAAATTTAATATTTTCAACTTTGTCGTTGAATTACAAAAAAAACTACGGGAGACAATTACATTATTTAAATTGGACTATGTGCGACGTTAATGGAAGTTTATAAAAAAACTAGTTTGATGTAATTACCACTCTGCAATCAATAGTTATCAACAAAAAACTAACAATACATACAACCAGAAATTTTTCTTTTTTAAACTCCAAGTTTACTAATAAAATACACAAAAACTAATTATCCGAATTAACTAAACTAAACTAATTTAAATAAAAGCAGTAATTGTGCATAATGTGTAAAAATTTGAAAACCCTAACCTGCATAGTTTCAAAATTATAACCTCAAAAGTAAAAAATGTCAAACACATACATTAATGACTTTTCCAGGTTAACTACAAAAAAACTACCTGCACAAACAATAATATCTAAAACGTATATTACGTAGTAATAACTCAACTTCCTATAAACCAAATTTGACTTTCATATCTCCATCCACCTCACAGTTATCACCAAGAAACCAAACAAAAACATGCTCCACCCCTACAAGCACTCCTAGTCATCCATGTTGTTTACCCATTCATTTGTTTGCAAGAAGAAAAAACAAACTACACCATACCGTTACGTACATCGGATGAATCTAAGCAACTCACAACATTACACAACGCAAAACATACCGCACGTTTGTTGAATGTTGAATGAGCACGAGAAATAAACATTCACCGCATAGTAAAGTACGCGACAACATTCGATGTTTTATGCACGTTTCATGTTTGTACCTGCAGGCGATTGCGGACGCCATGCTGTAAACAAACGAAAAAACAAAACACTCACCTGTCTCTAGGTTTGATATTCCAGATATACAGCTAATCACCGCGCACCGTTCACCACTGGCTGTGGAAGATGTGATGAGGATTGAAGAGATCGATGCGCAGCGACAATTGCGACTGATATATTTCAATGGATGGTATTTTTATTGCACTGCAGTGGTCATCGCGCACACGCGTCTTGGAATCGTGGGCGACGCGGAAGGCGGCCAGCGACCATTCTTCACCGCGATCGTGATTATTATTGTTGATTACGCGACCAGCCAGGAGCCGACTGTGCCAGCCTCGGCGAGGATCAAGGCCATATTGGTTTCCATCGTTTCCAGCTGCGACATTCTACGAACATGCACGAAACAACACGATGGAGTTATTAAAACTAAAAATTGCTAATATTAATACGAAAATAACTAATAAACTATGTAAAACTATTAAATAAACATTATTTATACTCCATATTATTTTTTTAACTGTTAAAAATAGTGTTTTAAGTAATTATTTTCTTGTTTTAAAACGAAATCTACCCCACCATTTTGAAAGTAACCAGATGTCACTAAACCGCAAAAATAATTCAAATTTTTAAACTTTTAAACGCATAAAAACAATAAATCCTATTAAATTATACTATTCAACACTTGAAACAATTTATAAATAACTATTATAATATAATAAATCAATAATTACTAAACAAAATAAAAGAGTAAATAAATAAACTGTCAAAAAAAGTAACTAGATTATTTTTGGTTGGTACGGGTGATACCAACCTGAGCGCTAAACAAGTCTCTACCTACACGTCTCTCGTCCGTGCAACATCTAAAAGTTGAACACGGATTTGTTTTCTTTAAATATTTAAACAATCCGTAAGTATTATCACCTAAACTTTAATTGTATCAATCCTATTTTCATAAAAGTACAATCACATACTAATATTTCCCTGCATAATTATTGTTTTCATTAAATAAATCACATGTAAACATTGCGTTGACATTTTTAGGTTAGCAGAATGGCTATTCGTCCAGTGTACAGGCCGACGATCCTCAAGAAACGCACGAAGAAGTTCATCAGGCACCAATCTGATCGCTATGGCAAGCTTAAGGTAATAAATTATATTATTAATAATTTTATAGTGTGTATAAAATGATGTTTATTGGTAATTTGCGACTGAATGTTTAAATGTTGTAAAATTTTGCTGATTATTTAAAAAATTAGTTTATTTTTAGCTTTTGAATTGCAGAAATTTAATATTTTGTGTTATTTTTAGCGTAACTGGCGTAAACCCAAGGGTATTGACAATCGTGTCCGCAGGCGCTTCAAGGGCCAATTCCTGATGCCCAACATTGGTTATGGTTCAGCAGCCAAAACCAAGCACATGCTTCCTACTGGCTTCAGGAAGGTGTTGGTACATAATGTTAAGGTATACACCACAATATCAATCATATTACTTAAATTAAACCAACATGATGGTACTTAATGGTAATTTGCGACTGAAATTCCATGATTTCACTCTTTAACTGACTTTTAACTTATTTAAAATTAATATTTTTGTATAAATATTAATAATTTATATTAATATTACTTTTTCTTTGATAATTTTTTAAAGGAATTGGAAGTCCTGATGATGCAGAATAGGAAATTCTGCGGTGAGATCGCGCACGGCGTCTCGTCAAAGAAGCGCAAGGAGATCGTCGAGCGGGCGCAGCAATTGTCGATCCGTTTGACCAACGGACACGCACGCCTCCGCAGCCAAGAGAATGAATAAGCTGTTTGATTAAAGTTTAATAATAAAAAAAAAAGAGAAAAACTAAACACACTCTTTTAGTATCACCCAACATGTAGTATACAGAACAGGTGTAATAGTTAAAGGTTTTGTTTAGTGGACGATTGGTGAGTAGTGATTTTCATTTTTTGTTCTAATGTTTAAGCTTTGCAGGTTTCTTATGTTTGTGGTAATAAGCATATAACTTTGCAATTATTTTTTTAATACTTGGGTTTTCTCTGGCTTGTTGAATTAGTAAGAATGCAAATGATCTTTATATTATCTTTTTGCTGCGAAGATATAAGCGGAAAACTAGTGATACCGTAAAAGGATTCTGAGAATATCAGTTTCTTTAGTTTGTAATGCATAATTTTATAGTTAAAAGATTATATTTCATATAGAATTCGATGGAGAGTTTAATTCTTTAGAAGTTCTCCCAGTTTGAAGTGAATGTCAGTAATATTATTATTTACTTTTATATTACTTTCCGTTTTAAGGGAAATTCGAGTCATTTACTTGAGTAATAACTCTGTAATAACTGAGTTATTATTAATCAGTCTTGCTTAGGTCTGGTATCTTGTGACTTTTGATATTTTGTGGATTTAAATCATTGTATAGTTTTATTTGGAAAATTATTTAAAAAATTACTATGATACAAAATGTGAAGGTGTTCCAATATTTAATTAATTAATAACACCTATACTAAACTATTCACTTAAATTATACACAAATGGTTAGATAATTGTATTTACTATCAGAATACTAAATTTGAGCCTAGTGACATTTACTTTAAAAGTTATTCAAAGAAAACTAAACTTTTGCATGAAAAAATGTAAATATTTTACTATACTTTCAGTTTACATCCGTATAACTTCGAAAATATTCATTATTTAGCAACAAATTGCATACCGTTAGATAGAGAATTTTAATTTCTTCAATGTGTGCAAAATTGAAGTCTATGGACTTTGTGGCTTAAAAGTTATTATCAAAAAACTAAACTGTCACAGAAAATTGAAATTTTAAGTTTGAAGGTGAATAACTCACTAAATAATTATCAAGTGATAAAAAATTATATAAAATTAGATACAGAATCTTATTAGCTTTAATATATACAAAATTCAAGTAAATAAAATATTTTGCCTAAAAATTATAAACGAGATAATGACCAAATGTATAGAAAAACGAAATTTCGAATTTAGAAACTAATAACTCCCAAACTATTTAACATAAAGCAACAAATTATACACCATCTGATAGATACTTTTATTATCTTCAATAAACATAAATTTCAAATTAATAAAATAATTCGCATAAAAGTTATTAACAAAAAAATAAACTATTGCAGAACAATAATAATTTTGAGATGCTTAAGTTGGTAAGCTAATAACTCGAAAACTATTCAACGAAAAAATTCACTTATATAAAATTAGATAGACAATCTTATTATCTTTAATATTTGCAAATTTGAAAATTCCAACATTTTTGGTTAAAAAGGTATTAACGAAAAACTAAACCATTGCAACAAAAATACAACCTGGCGTTGTTCAACTTTGGACGCTAATAACTCTAAAACTATTGAACATAAATCATCCATAAATATAAAATTAGATAGAGAATGTTATTATCTTTCATATTTGCAAATTTAAAATTTCTAACAATTTTTGTTAATAAATTATTAACGAAAAACTGAACCGTTGCAATATAAGCATATAACCACGTTTGTAAGCAAATAACTCCTAAACTATTGAACGTAATACAACCATACAGGTAAAATTAGATAGAGAATCTTATTAGCTTTAATATTTGCAAATTTGAAGTTTCTATCCATTTTTGTTAATAAATTATTAACGAAATACTGAACCGTTGCAAGAAAAATTAAAACCTGGTGTTGTTCAAGTTAGGAAGCTAATAACTCCCAAACTATTGAACATAAAACAATCACTGATATAAAATTAGATAGCTAATATTCTTATCTTTAATATCTACAAATTTGACAATTCTAACATTTTTCGTTAAAAAGTTATTAACGAAAAACTAAACCATTGCAGAAAAAAATACAACCAGACGTTGTTCAACTTTGGACGCTAATAACTCTAAAACTATTGAACATAAAAGATCAATAAAGATAAAATTAGATAGAGAATCTTATTATCTTTAATATCTGCAAATTTAAAATTTCTAACAATTTTTGTTAATAAATTATTAACAAAAAACTAAACTGATGTAAGAAAAATTAAAACCTGCTGTTGTCCAGGTTTGGAAGCTAATAACTCCTAAACTATAGGACGTAAAACACTAACTTATATCAAATTTGATAGCTAATCTTATTATCTTTAATATATGCAAATTAGAAATGTCTAACTATTTTTGTTAATTAGATATTAATGAAAAACTGAAGCGTTGCAAGAAAAAATAAAACCATGTGTTGTTCAAGTTTGGAAGCAAATAACTCCCAAACTATTGAGCATAAAACAACCATACAGATACAATTTGATAGCTAATCTTATTATCTTTAATATCTGAAAATTTGAAATTACTAGCAATTTTTGTTCAAAAATTATTAACGAAAAATTAAACCGTTGCAAGAAAAAATTAAACCTGGTGTTGTTCAAGTTTGGAAGCTAATAACTCCCAAACTATTGAACATAAAACAACCATAAAGATAAAATTAGATAGAGAATCTTATTATCTTTCATATCTGCAAATTTGAAAATGCTAACAATTTTTGTTAATAAATTATGAACAAAAAACTAAGAAATTGCAAAAAGCACAAAATTTTAGTCTCGTCAATTTTTGCATATAACTTGCACGCAAATTTCATCAAAATTAAAAACAATAAAGCACTCAATACCAAATTACCAATATTCAACAAAAAAATTAAAGAAATGCATTGATTAAAATGCATGTTTTGCTATTCTTGGCGCCAATTTTTTTATACAACACCTCACGTTGATATTATTCCCTCTTTTATTATAAATTTCCTCAGCAACGCAACGAACAAATCAACAAAAAGGGGATGCTTACCAGGTGCACCTATCCCAACTTCCACAACGCACCAAAAACCCATGCACCCCAGTGGATTTTCCCACATATTCGAAAATAAAAATATCCACAAACGGTCGCTTGCACTTCTTCGGCTTGTGCAGTAACAGCGCCCCCTGTGTGCACGCCACCGTCATTTCAGCGTCTTCCCAAACCCTCAGCCAATCAGGGTGCCGCTTGGGTGACGCTGCGTTCTACGCGCGAACCGTGCGCCGCACATTCGCTCATTCGTTGTCTAGAATCCGCTCCGCTCGCACGCATTCAGCACGCCACACACGCCAACACCGCCTGCCCAGCATCCCGAGGTAAGCTGCGCACTACTCGCTTGTTTTTGTAAATAACGCCGGCCGCTCATCACTCCAACGACGCGCATAATTCACACAAAAATCGCCGACGCCGCCAAAAATACGCAATAATTCCATCGCGACACGTACGATTTTTTACCACCGCGGAAATAATTCGTGGCGGCCGTACATCCAGCGCAATTCGGGAATTTGTATACGGCGCGCGGGACGCGAACGCAAACCGAGATGGCCGCCGCTTGACGTTCGCGCGGCTTGGCGCGTCGGTACTCAAACTTCGTGAATATTTTCCGGCGTAGTACCAACACGAAAAATATCGGAAAATATATGAAATCAAAGAGGATTTTTTGCTTGAATTTCGAAAATATTTTTCGCCGCGCGCCCGCGTCGTTTAACCGATGAAATAAATTTGGGTGTTGTACTCACCGGTTTTAATAGAATGCATTATTCGTAAATGGCGCCATCGCGTCCACAACTCAAACACTGCCAATATATACGGCCAAGCGACGCTGTTATAAGTGTATCCTCATGGCGATGGATATACACTCATATTTGATTTTATTAATTTTTTTTCGTGGATTCTTTTTTGAATATTCGGCATTCACAACCGCCACATCGCTTAACCTCAACAAACAAGCGAAACAAATGAACATCGCGTGGCGTCACTTTCGCTTCAAAATAATGAACTAACAAAATAAAACCGCGAAATTTAAAAATTTTACATAAAAATTGTTAGTAATCATTTAACAATAAATAAAATTTTTATTTTGTTGTTTTGTACTAAAATTAATTGATTTTTTTTATTGTTGCAGATTATAAATCAGCGTCATTCGTCTCAAAATCGAAAACAAAATGTCGGACGAACCAGCGAAGCGTGGCCGCAAGGCGGCAGCAGTAGAGGCTTCCCCTAAGAATGACTCGCCAAAGAAGCGCGGCCGCAAAGAGGTGGTGAAACCCCTCGAAGATGAGGCACCAGCTCCGGCGAAGCGCGGCCGTGGCAGGCCAAAGGGCACCAAGAAGAAGGTCGTCAAGAGCCCCAAAGCTAAAGCCGGCAGTAAGTATACTAAACCAACTGAATTCACTCAAAAAACTTATTAAATACTTAAATAAACATAAAAAAACTAATTTTATCATTTTTCTCTTAGCTGGCCGTCGTGGAAGACCAAGGAAATCCGACAAACCCAAGGAATCATCCGAAGAAGATGAGGAGAACGAAGAGGACGACGAATAAGCAGGATCACCGCTGGAGGAGAAGCGAAACGCGCGTAACACGTAGATCTTCGATTCATACATTATTATTAGGTTAAGTTCAACACAGTAAATGGAAGCATATGATTAATATAAATTTGTTCATCTACATTAGATTAGAGATTGTCCTGGTTTGTTTAGAAGTGCCATTCAGATTCGATTAGCGTTCTAAGATTTGAGAGATTTCTGTATTTTGTATTTAACGGCGCACATTCATACACAGTGCAGCACCCCTTCCGAGTGGTGGATTATTTTAATTATGTAATATCGATGTGTGTGTATTTAGTTGTTGATTCCGGATGGATCAACTCTTGGGAGCGAAATGTACAAATTAGAGCGTTGTGTTCACATTGATGACAGACAAAAATTCGTTTCAGTTCTTTATGTTTCACTGTTTCAAAAAGAATAGGAAGTAAAGGAAATTTTCTTCAAATAAACGCATTTACCTAATATTTCACTGTTTCATTTTAAATTTAGAAATAATTTAAGCTTTTATGGTGGAAATTTTGACATTGAAGTTATTTGTAGTGTTGTGTGCGACATCTATCGGTCGATGCATGGAGTTAAAGACATTTTTTTACATTTTGTGATGTAGGCAACCATATTTACAGAAGTTTGCAGATTTTAATTTTGTTATATTAACTGGTTCTGGCGTTTTACTAATCATTTAGATAAAATTAAACGTTTTAAAATAAAATTATTAATTAAATTTACTACAAAAACGGATAAAATAATTGGTAAAAACGTTTTTTAGTTAAAATAATTTGTTTCGTTTTAGTGCGCCATCTGTCGGCGTATATCCAAAGATACCATGACTGAAAAATAAATACAGAAATCTGTAAATTTTTAAGTACCGACATCTACCAGTGCTGTTCAAAAGTTTATTTCTAGATAACTTTTTGACTCAAATTGAATAATTTAGAATATTACATTGATTTAAACAAGTTTATTTCCTAATCTTTACCATACAATAGGTTTGTGTACATGTAATTTGATTCAATTCCATTCAATTTTGATTTATTTTGTAGAAAAGAACCAAAAAGCGACAAACACAAACATCAACCATGATTTACCTCGCCTACCGCAGCGTCACAACTCTACTCGCACGTTGTAATCGTAAAAGTTGGCAGTTTATACATCAATAATCAATATATATCATCAATGGGCACAAATACGCGTGAATGAATCGTTGGGGATGTTGCATCAGCTCCATTTAAATAGTAGTAGTAGTTAATTACATGTTACACTTGTACGAATTGTTTTTATATACAAAAAATACGTGTTTTATCGTGTTCGCCTATTCGTTTCGCGTACAATTTTTCAATTTACCATTATTTTTATCTAAAATGCGCCAAATGCTTAATTCGTACTTCTTGCGCTTCGTAAAAATACCTGTGTGTGATTGAAATGTAAAAATTGACAGTATACATCATCCACGAGTGAAAAAATAAACGACTAAATTAATCTACCGTCTTAGAAACTAGCAACTACACTAACAATATTATTGAACTGATGATGATGGATGAATCAATCTCTTTGTTGGTTTGTTTTCTGTTTGCAATTGTGTTGCATTGTTTGTTTTGCATTTCCACTTGTTGTAATTGTGTATTTAAAGTATGGTAATTATTATATCTATAAATAAGATTAATATTAGTAGGTTGATTGTATAAGAAGACATGGATGGTGATCGGGGAACATGAGAGAGGTTTGGGGATAGTTTAGGATGTGTATATTTAATAAGTTTAAGTTAAAGGAAATAGTCGGCCTGCGGCTTCTTTGAGGGTATGCCTCGTGTTTCCTGCGGCGCTGCCTCAAATATCGTAAAGTCGCGCTGCAGATGTTCGTTTAGTTCTAGGATTGCCGCTACATTACCGCATCTGGAATAGAAAAAAACACAAAATGTTAATAAACAATTTATTAGTTATCAGAAACAAGAATAAAATGAGATTTTGTATGAAAATTTATAAAATTATGGATAAAAACGTTAGAAAAATGATTAAACATTGCAATTTTTAAGTATTTGGCTTATAACTTGGGCAATTTTTGTTCAAATTGAATAATATTTTGTAATAATAAAGATAATATGATTATCTATTATAAAATATCAAAAAATGTTTGTTTGTGAATGTTTAAAAATGTTATAAACAAAAATGTGAGAAAAACTGTCAAACCCCACAATTTTTCATTATTTACCTTAAAATTACCAGAAAAACTGGGTTCAGTTTAATATTTTGCGTAAATTCTTACAAATAATAGATTCAGCTATCATAAAATACAATAAAATGCAAGTTTGAGTTTGTTTTTTAGAAGATATAAGCAAAAAAGTAACAAAAAATGATATAAATTGCATTTTGTTACTAATAATTTTAATATTTCTTCAAAAAACTTGATAATTTCGCTTTGTTGATGAAAATAATTAATTTACTTTTTGTATCACCTCATGAAAGACATGTTTTCGTTTGTTTTGTGAACGATTTTTACGAAAATGTAACAAAAATGGCAAAACACCACAATTTTCAGTATTTTACTAATAACTCAAGAAATACTTGTTAAAATTTCATGATTTTAGTAAATTATTGAAGATAATTAAATTATGTATCACACTATATCATAAAATATTAGTCTCAGTTTGTTTTACAGTAGTTATAAACAAAAATGTAAGAGAAATAATTAAAAAATTACAACTTGCTAGTTATTTTCGTAATAACTTGCACATTTCTTGAAAGAATTTCGGTGAATTATTCATATAATGACATTATCAATCATGAAACAACATACAAGGAAGTTGTTGCTGTTATTTAGTCGATTTTAATAAAGTTATAAACAAGAATGTAATAAAACTGGCAAAAATATCAAAACTTTCCATTATTTCGCTAATAATTGAAACATTTCTTATTGAAAGTTAACAATTTTGATAAAATATTAAAGGTAATTTAACTATTTATCACCTCACATCATAAAACACCACTTTGATAAGTCTTTTAAAAATTATAAACAAAAACATGCAAAAAATCGTATTTTTGACTAAAATTAACCGTAATTCCCTGATTATTTATAAAAACACAAATATTTACATATTAAATAAAAGATAATTAAATTCTTCAACTTATTTACCATATATATCGCGAAATATATTTGTCATCACTAAAACAATAAATATTTACACAACTTACCTGTAGCAATAGTTGGGAGCAGACCACACAGTCAAAACAGTCTCGTTAAAATGCCACTTGTACCCCTCCATGACCAATTGATGCGCCCTGCAGATCATATCAATCTCATTCGCCGAATTAAACTGCGAGACGACGTCAGATCCAAAGAGATAACCAGCACCTCGTGGTGATACGCCCCATCCTTGCGTATCTAACAACACCAAACACAAAAAAACAAAAACAATTACTCTAATTCAACTATACAACAATATATTATCAATCTTATACCTTCTGGATCACTCCACAATAAATCACACATCGGCCCATCGTGTGGCACCTCTTGTTTACGATCAATCGTGCGAATTTGATCTAAGGTTTGAATCGAAGGTGAGAGACCGCCGTGCACGCAGAAAATTTTACCGTCGATGATAGCTGACAGTGATAGGTAGTCAAAGATCTCGGTGCAGTAGCGCCATACTGTGATGGAGCCGTATTTACGGAGGCATTCGTCGTAAAAGCCGTAGACTTGTGTGATCTGGCGAGATTCATGATTGCCACGGATTAATGTGATTCTGTCTGGGTATCTCACCTGAAATTGATTCATAATTTAATTAGCTATCATTCAATACCAAAATAATCAAATTTGGATGGAAATGATAAAAGTTATGAGCAATTTATAGATATATTGCGTTGAAATCTTAGAAATTCTTCATAAATTTGTTGATAACTCAAGAATGCAACAATAGACATTAATTATTTAAACACAAAACGAAAGATAATTAAATTCAAGTTCATCTGAACCTAATTTTCACCTTTTTACATTTGTTTATAACTATTTATCAACAATTAAAGGCAAAAATGAGCTAAAACTCAGTAAAATCTTTAAAAATCGACATAAAACCAATATTTTGCTAGTTATTTAATGAAAATATTAATTATTAGTTTAATTTAACTCACTTTGAGTGCAAGAAGTAAAAGGAAAGTCTCCACGCTGTAAAATCCACGATCAACAAAGTCACCCATGAAGAGATAGTTGGATTCCGGTACATCTCCACCAACTTTGAAGAGTTCTTTCAGATCGTAGAATTGTCCATGAATATCACCACATACCTATCAACAAGAACCACAAAATTACCAAATATTAACTTAATTGCTTCAATATTTCAACATTTATCAACAAATAACAAAAAAATGACAACTTTCAACTTTAATTCATGATAACTACCAAACTAATCATCACAAAATAATAAATTAAACTGTACTTTAAAGAGAATTTATTCTACTTTAAGCAGTGCATATTTAAAATTTGTTATTGTTTATACTGAGAAAGTTATAAACAAAAATAAATGTACAAACAACTTGTGCAAGTTTTTGTGGATTTTTATGAAAAAATCAACAAAATTCTTTCCATAATTGATTGTTAAATGTTTAAATATTACTTACAGTGACTGGTGAGTCTACCCTTTGAACATTTGACTCTTCTACGAGAATCTCCCGAGCTTTAGCACAGAGTGCCTTCACTTCAGCCTCTTTAATGATCTCACAACGCTTCAGCTGCTCGATCTGGCGGTCCAAATCGCTCGTGTCCGTCATCCTTTGCTGATTTTCTCTGCTTTTCTAAACAAAACACACGAATTACAAGTGTTACTCTGATAGCTTTGCTATGAATCAACATTATTGAGGGTTATGTCGACATATTTGTCATTGAAGTGTTGTAATGTCAATTTCGGGCGATTTACATGCAAAATCTGCATGAAAACAAGTGCAGGAGGTGTTTAGGTTGTTATAAGATGTGAAATTAACATTTAAATGATGGTAATTTACCTGGAAATCGCAAATTTATGAACACTCCTCGGGATAAACGCTGCGATTCCTAGCGGACGATAAAATGAACGGCGCAAACACTAACGAAGTCACGACATACGTCAACTTGCGTTGATGTGACAAAGACAGCAAGAGGAAATTTTGGTGCATAGGTAAAGTCTAAGTGAGATGGATATATAGCCTTGAGTATGTAGAGGTCGCTGCAGTAGGTTTACAGTAAAAATTCAAACAATAAACATTAATATTTAAACAATTAGAATGTTTGGAGCATTAAACTAGATATATTCAAATAGTAAATTAATTTTTACATCGAATTACATTAAGTTATCTAATGTATTTATTATTAATCCAAAAAATTTTTACTGAAATCTGTCGAAAAATGATGCAATATGTGTACAGTATGCTTTAGGTAATAAAAGCAAAGATTTGGCCGCGTATATCCTATAAAAATACAACTATTATACATCAATCTAAACTAAATTAAATTTCACGTCCATATATGTATAATTAATATATCGTTGGTGTATTTAACTTTAATTAATTATTGTTTGAAATTCAAATCCAATCGATTTCTTCCTTTACGGTGGAATTTAGAACTAAATCAGTGACGTCAAGGTTGTTTGGTTTTGCATCAGACATAACCTTCTCGCCTAGCGCTGTTTATAGTGATTGTTCGTCGGTATTTGTGGTCTTTGAGTGTTAATTAGTGACGAATACAAGCTAATACGTGTGCTTAAGGTGATTATAACGCTTCTTTCTACCTTCCGCTACATTCTCCCACCTAGCTATCACCGCTGTGCCTGTCAGAACACAAATTATAAGCGTTTTTCTTGAAGTTTACTCTTATTTCCTTGATGATAAACATTTTCATCAATTAATGCGATTTAACTAACAATTTGCGATATAAACCCTACCCAAAAAAACTTGTACAACTAGTTTGTGTTTACGACTATCAAAAATAGCTTGATTTATGGTGTTTGGTTGGTTGTATAAAGAACTGTTAAGATTTCTGAGTCATGTGATGCTTCAACTATGTAATTAATTGATTTAATTGCTTTATTTTTGGTTTCAGTGTGCTGGTGTTGTGAACAAATCATGGGGAACATTCATACAGTCGGGCCGAACGAAGCGCTCATCGTTTCAGGTAGGAATTGTTGATTTTTTGTGGCTTTTTGTACATTTTTAGATGGCAAATAATCAAGAGAATGAAACAAAGTAGAAAATTGATTGTAAATCGTTAATAAATGGTTTATCAGATGAAATATCAACAATAACTGCTTTATTAGTACTTATACTAACATCATCTGCAATATTTTAATCAGAAAACACATAATATTCTTGAAAGTTTACATAATAATTAAAATATAGCGATTTTAGTTGATAACTTTGCATAACGTTGCAAATAACAAGAAGAGGAAGTGTTCTATTGATTGTTAAGGTCATTAGTCACGTTGGGAATAACGTGAACTACATGTGATGAATTGGTGTTTTTATTCATAAAAGTGTGGTTGCTATGGCAATCAGAGTAGCAACAAGTGTATTATTACTATTTTTAACTTGAATTTCGTGCTAAACTCATTGAAATACAGCTAATAATAGAATTTTAATGCAAAGATAATATAATAATTTATATTATGAAGCAAAAATATTAGATGAATATTAATTAGTTTAAAAGTTATTAACAAATATTTGGGTTAAAGCATATTTTCAAGTATTTTTGAGATAGTTGTGATAAATTTTTCTTGTAACTTTTTAACTAATTATGATAAAATGATTAATTACGCAGTAATTTAAAGGTAATTTAATTAACAATAAGTCTTGAAAATATAAATTTTCCAACTTGTGTTGTTTAATTGTTATTAACAGAACAGTGCACAATTACAAAAATCTTAATATTTCTTCTATTTTTGGTGATAACAGAAAAACTAATAGCGATAAACGAATGAATTAAACATTTTAGGAAAGTTAATTTAATCTATTTTAAGTCCTGAAAATATAAAAACTTCAATTTGTTTATTAATCAAGTTATAAACAAAAAAGTTAAAAATGTCATATAGATTTTTTGGTATTTTTGTGTTACTCTCTGAATTATTATGTTTTTACAATAATTTTAGTAATAATTATGACAAAATTACTAATAGTAGTATTTGTTAGTAATCTTAGAAACACATAAGTAATAATTAGTTATTTTGTTGATATATTAACAGTAGAAATTGTTGGAATTAATTAATTTTGTGGTTTTTCTAAAAATGTTTGTTTCTTTTTTAGTTTGTTATTAATTTCGACTGTTGCTGCAAGTAACACTTCAGAATTAAGCAGAACAATTGCAAAAAACATAATTTTTTGTTTTATTATTATTTTTTTACGTTAATATTTGTTATTATTTAATATTAAACTCATTTTTAAATAAAATTTGTGTTGGATTTTATTTTATAAACCATCATTTAACTTTTTGCATGTTTTCAACTATTTATGTTGATATTTGGCGGGTCAAGTGGGTTTGCGTCAGTGAAATTGTTTTTCTAGCCAAGTCCGAGCCAAATTTAGCACAGAGTAATTGTGTTCTAACCCACATACTCGTATCACGCGGCATTGTTTTCCCTGCATGAGCACATGCGGTTATTGATTTTTTCCCGGTCTGTTTTCTTAGTGACGATAATATCGTGAATTGCGAGGGGTGAATATGTATATAATATGAGTGCTTTTTATGAAAAGGGTGTTCAGAGTCACCCTTTACCCCAGGATATTCACACCCGTTGTAACATGAACTTGTAATATTCATTAGGCAATTTAATATACATTACTATTATTTGTATTAGTGTATTTGGTTGCATATATCATGGATGAAAAAATGTTTAAAGGAAATATTTTAAATTTTTTTATTGCGTGTATTATTTTATACAGTAGAATCTTGATAACTCGAACCTTGTTAAGTCGTAATCCTCAGTAACTCGAAAAGATATGCTATTCCCTTCCGCTGAACCCCGAACGACGCACTAACTCGAATTTTTTAGACTCAGTAACTCGAACAATAAGTTATTTCCCTGTGAGGCATTACTCGTACATTTTAATACTTAGTAACTCGAACTGCAAATACTACCTCAGTAAGTCGAAGTTCATAAAATTTTATGATTTCTTACTCGAGATTCCCGGAGCTTAAAACTCGTGGCAATAAAATCAAAAAGGAATGTTCGGGGCTCGGGGCCTCTTATCTATTGTTTTTGTTTTGCACACGTGCAAGGAATGAATTCATTCAATAAACTTTCTAATTTCTAAGAAACACAGATGTTATGTTTCTTCATTTTTGGTCACTTTTGGTTACTTGGCTCAGTCAGTACATATTTGTTTGGCTGTTAACAAGCAACAACATGAGTACAATACAGCAATTGATACACTAGGAACTTACATTGAAAGATGTAATGATATCGAGTATCATATATTCGGTTCACTATATGAACTAGAAAAAATAATTGATAAAAAATCTGTAAATGGCTTGAATCAAACGAAGATAACAGATTTTTTATCAATTATTTAAAACATACAGTGTAAGTTCATTCATTATAATTATGTACTTGACTTTCATTTTATGTTACCTAATGTAATTTGTCGTAATAATTGTTCTATGAAATTGTGCCTTTTTATGTCGAAATTTGATGAGTTAACTCTTCATATCTCGAAATTCTTGTTAAGTCGAACACTTGCTATCTCGAATTTTTTTGGTTTCCCTTGACATTCGAGTTATCAAGATTCTACTGTAGTTGCATAAATTTTTCATGTTGATTATTATCTTCTGTAATATAAAAATGAATCGCAAAATCTGTTGGTAAGCGCATAACTCAACAACGCTTTGATCAATTTGGCCAATTCTTTTTTTAAAATGTTTCTTAAAATCCAAGGATGGTTTTCACTGCGGGAAATATTCGAATAATTGCCGGGAAAACCCTAAAAACAGTCTTTTTCTATAGGATTAAAGTTGGCATTGAGATTCAATCATAGTTATAGTTAAATAGTTGAATCCGAGATGGCGCGCTGAAGTGCATTATTAGCAATTCTTTATATAATTAATTTCTTTAAAATAAAATTGCAAATCTTATTGATAGAATTGACACATACGTAGAATTGACTCGCAAAAGCGATACGAGACCGAGACGATACGAGAAAAGTCTCGGTATCGTGTGAAGCCTTAAGTAGAACTCCGTTTTAGATCTTTGCAGTTCAAAAGTTTAGTCATAGTTTAAAATATTAATTTTTGATTGCATCACTTTTAATTGAAAATATATTTTTTAATGTTTCAAATTTTTAAACGTTAATGTATACTAGGGTACAATAATCGAGTTGATTTGTGTTGAAAGTAAGCGGCGCACGTCTACAATTCCTAACTTACCCAGATGTATACAATATCTTTGCTTCAAGAAGTACAGAAAAACACAAAAATATGTCTCCGGATGTGTAAACAAAGACAAAATTTTCATAAAACTTTCAAAAGTCAAAAAGGTCATGATATTCGGTTACTAACTTGTTCTTTTGAATATACACAAGAAATATTTCACAGATGGTCATATATTGGATTTCATATATTGGACCTTTTCCCATTTTTCTAATAACAACTTCATAAAAAAAAGTAACGAGACCAATAACGAGACCAAAAACGAGACTCGGACTGTGGTATCGGTATCGCCGAGAAATTGATAAAACACGTCTCGTCTCGGTATCGTCTCGCTTTTCCGAGACGAGAGCGAGACGATACGAGAAAAGTCTCGGTATCGCGTGAAGCCCTAATTACATTACATTTGATTTTTAGTAAGTTTACGTAATCCCTCAGTATATAATTATTTATTTTTTGTTATAACTTGTTGAGTTGTACCTTTACTGGCATTTTCAACTATTGAAACACGTTATAAAATTAATATCTATTAAATTTTAGTTTAATAAAGTACTTTAGTCACAGCTTTGGTAGTCCGTGTTTAAAGTACCACTTTTGGTGCCTCAAATCCATGGAGAAACTGATGCTTTAAAGCTGGCAATAGAAAAACAATTATCAAATCCATTTATCCGTTTTATTTTTTAGTTTTATTGTGTTGTTTGTCAATTTATTTTTTAAACTAAATTTTAACTACATTTCCAACCAATTAAAAAAGTAATAAAATATCAATAAATCTAAAAAACAAACGAAAAAAACATTTTACGCACCAAAAAAATAAAAAAGAAACCAGTTATAATCCAAAAATAATTTTATTACAATAATAAAACCGAACATTAAATATAATCAAAATTCCGAATACATTTTTACAATTCATCAAGTCACTCTTGAACTCTTCAAAACACATAATCCCATCAATTATTTCCAAGCATGTTTAATATAATCCCCAGCCTTCTCAGCGATCATAATTCCCGTAGCCCTCACATCTCCAGTAATACTAACCGGCACCACCGCCAAATCCACCACTCTCAGTTTATGCACACCATGCACCTGCAGTTTATCATCAACCACATTCTTATGCTCATCTGAACCCATCCTAGTCGTACCAGTAAAATCTCCGATTGCTCTTGTATGATGCTTGATAATACACTCATCTTGATCATCATGACTATCAGACTTGACATTATCCTTCACACATTCGGAATCTACTATTTCATGCAGACCCATTTTATGGGCCACCTCACGAGCTAGTTTAATACCTTCTTTCATTGTATTAAAATCAACTTCTTCTTCATCTGAGTAAAAGTTGGGATCAACCAGAGGGAATTTTAATAAATCCCCTGATGACAATTTAACACTACCATAAGATTTAGGGTGGTTAAGGGTCACAGATAGAATGTATTTATCATTATGGTAGTCCTGGCGGAGACTCAGTTGGATATCAGGGTATTTACCAGGGGCTTTGGATGAAGGTGTTTTTATTTGGGCTAGGGCCTTGATTGAGGGTTGGGTTAAAGCCCCATGGTTGTTTTTGAGGTATTGGAGGAGGTCATGTTCAAATGGGTCTTCAGGAAGGTCTATAAATTTACCTTCTTTTTTAGCATCTTTTTTATCTTCTTTTTTCTCTTCATGTTCTTCATGTTCATGGGTTTCACGTTTTTCTTTATGGTCCTCTTCATGTTTAAAATGAAGGTCTACTGTGGGATGATCCCTAAGGTGTTCTCCTACTGGGAGATCTACCACACAATCAATTTCATGGGTTTTGAGATCTTTTTCAGGCCCTACTCCGCTTAAAAGTAGTAATTTTGCTGTGTTGATTGCTCCAGCACTCAGGATAACCTCCTTGGTAGCTTTGACTGTTTTTACCTTACCACTGGGATCTATATATTTAACTCCTTGGGCTTCCTTGGTATGTGGACTGATCAGAATCTCCACTACAACATTATCCTTCAAAACATACAAGTTTTTCCTTCTTTGGTTCTCGATAAAAGAAGCAAAACTACTTGATCTTGTCCCATGGAAGGTCATAAGTTGAACAGTGCTGAACCCTAGTTGTTCCTTACCATTGTAATCCACTACAGGGTATTTAAGGTCTTCACCTGCTTTGATGAACTTTTTGGTCATGTTGAAATCATGGTCGTTGTCTTCGACACTTTGAAGACCTCCACTGCTATGATACTTCCTATCAAAATTAACAAGATGAGCGTTTTCGGATTTTTTGAAGTAGGGCAGGACATCGTTGTAGCACCAGTCTTTGTTTTCTTCATCAGCCCAGGTGTCAAAATCACGTTTGTTGCCTCGGTTGTAGATCATTTCATTTACTGATGTAGTACCTCCGATTATTTTGGCTGTGGGGATGGGGCACTGGTGGTTTTCATGGGATTGACACCAGTGTTTCTGTGGGGTTGATTGGTAACCCCAGTGGTGGAGTTTGGAGACGTGGGGATGCATTGAGGGGATTTTTGAGATGACGGATTCGGGTTGGCCTGCTTCCAGGAGTAGGACACTGTATTCTGGGACTTCGGATAGGCGGGAGGCGAGGACTGCTCCGGAGGTACCAGCTCCCACGATGATGAAGTCAAATTCATGAGGGTCTTATAAATTTTGAAAAAATTAAAAAAAAATAATTTTTTTTGAAAAAAAATTACTCACGTTTTAAAACTTCTTTGTCTTTGAACAATTCGTTGAAACTAAACTCTTTTGGATGATAATCCTTGGCTGATTTAATCAAATCCGCCATTCCAGTTTTGTATTTTTCCATTAACTCCTTAGCCAAATCAAATGGCGACGCATTTGTGCAAATTACCAGGAATAATCCCAGAAAAACCAAAGATATCTTCATCTTGGCCACTGCAAACAAGTTTTATAAATTGCTACAATTAATTTTATGCTCATGTGCACTTTATTCTTACTCGTAATTCCAAGAAGTGTAAGTCTACTTTGCGGTTAAGTCATTTGCATAAAATATTATTACAGGTTGAGTATGCAAATGTTATAAAAATGTAATTGCGGCTATCTTAAGATGCATTTACACAAGTGACTTAAGTTAAGTCAAGTTGACTTAAAACATAACTTAAGTTAAGTCACTTTTCATTGTCGTTTTCATTGTGTGGTGCACTTTTACTTTTCATGGTTTCTAATAATACTATACTTAACTAATAATACTAATTCTATTTTGATTTGTTATTGAGAGTGTTATTGGATGGATTTATAAACAAATTGATCGACAATCAAAAATCACTCATCTGTGAATGTTTAAAAATTTTGTTGTTGTGTTTTATCTACCAGTATGAAAGTAGGTCCAAGGTTTATAAAATTTAAATATTTTTAGTTTTTTAATTTAATTTGTTTATAATTAATTTAATTGTTATTAATAATTTATAAAAAATATTTACCTTTTTCTGTTGAAGTTATTTGATTGTTTCACAAGTGATCTGAACAATAACTGAGATGATTTCATGCGATTGACGAATTTATATTCTCTGCACCCGACCACCACCTCTCTCTCCAGTTCTTCGCGTCGCTGGAATTTTGCAGCGCGGTCGAGTATTTGCTATTGATATTGATGAAGCGTTAACCTTGTCCGCGGCAATTAAAAATGTTGATCGATGGCGACCATGTATGTGTGTTCTCGCTTAGCGAGAATTATATCGTTGAAAACAAAACCAGATATTATCTTGCGGATAAAATTCGGATTTTTTCTGCGCTGGGATTTTGATGAGCAACCATTTAATTATTAATTATATTGAACTTGAGTCAGTAAAAAATTCATTTATTATTATTAATATTGCTTAAAATAAAACGGTTTTAAAAATATCACATTATTATTATTATGTTTATGCTCTCGGGTCGAATGTGCCCTGTGCGTTGGCCCATTCTTCCTTGATGAGATCAGCGGCCTTTTCGCCGATCATCATTGCGGGTATGTTGGTGTGTGCGGTTAATGGTAGCGGGATGATGCTGCAGTCTGCGATGCGTAGACCTTGGATACCGTAGACTTTTAGTTTGGCGTCGACGACTGCTTCGGGGTCGGAAGCGGGGCCCATTTTTGCTGTGGCTACTTGATGGTGGAGGGTGCCGGTGATGTGACGTAGGGAGCACTCCCAGTAGGCGTCTGTGTCCCATTCGTGGTGGCGGCAGCCGGGGATCTTGGTTTTTACTTGCTGGGAGTTGAAGCGTTGGAAGGTTGGGGAGTTGCTTATGCGTTGGACTTCACGTATAGCAGCTGGAAAGTAAAATTTTTAGTAAAATGGGTTTTTGGTTGTTTTGAGGCAGTGTCTAACTCCTAAGAAGGATAAAAATAGGGATTGGTCATTGGGACCTTTGATAACCCAATAGGACCCTTGATTTAGGGTGGTTTTCTAGGACCTATCTGCTATTTAGGTAGTCCTACTGAAGACCCAATTGGATATCTGGATATTTACCAGGAAATTTTGATTTAGGTCTTTAGATAAAGGGTTAGGTTAAAGCCCCAGGGTTGTTTTTATGATATTATAGAGGGTTATGGTCCTAAATCTCCAACTACCTCTAAAAATTTCCTACTTACCAATAAAAGTCTTGATATCCAAGTTTTCCGGATCAGTAAAAAAGTTCCCATACAACCTGGGCCAGTGATAAGGGTTCTTACTCTTGAGTTTAACACTACCCGTGCTATAGGGATGTACCAGCATAGGAAACACTGTCCATGTTTGCCTCGCGATCCTCTCCAGAGGTTTCCAGAGAGCATTGTAGACTTCATCTGAGATCCTAAATGTTCTCCGATAGACCAACCCGTAATCCGTAGCGAATGACCCTCCTATGAAGATGAGTTCCATGTCTGGATACTTGGGATCTGCATCTCTACTAATATTGGTCTTGATATAAGTAAGAGCTTCTACTCCTCCTATACTGGTCAAAGGTCCTTGACCATTTAGTAGTTGGATCATACTTCTTGGAGCTGTAAGATCTGCATAATTGATTGATAGGGTTTCATTGATTGTGAATATTACTCCTGGATATGTAGCATGGTCGTACATTTTTTGACCTACAGGCAGGTCCCTTAAAACAGGGATGTCTAATTCCTGAAGGTGGTCTTTTGGACCTATACCACTCAACATTAATAATTGAGGTGAGTTGAAGGTCCCAGCTGAGAGGATGACCTCTTTGGTCACATTGGCATAATGGAATTGTCTGTTTCTCACATATTGTACTCCTGTAACCCTTAAATTATCATCTATGATTAATCTAGTAGCTCTTGATTCAGTTAGGATTGTCAAATTGGGTCGGTCCCTAATGGGTCTTAGATAAGCAGATTCCCCACTTGCTCTTATACCACGTCTAGTTGTGGCTTGAACGTAGGAGACACCCATTTGACGTTTACCATTGTAGTCTACGTATTTATGACCTGCTTCCATGCAGGATTTCACATAGGCGTCTACCACCTGTGACCGGAAGGGTACATCCTGAACACTTATGGGCCCACCTCGATTCCTATAAGTCTGATCTGTATATCTCACATTGTTATCTTCTAGTTTTTTGAAATAAGGGAGGACGTCTTTGTAGGACCAACCTGGGTTACCCATAGCAGCCCAACGGTCATAATCACGACGGTTACCCCTGACATGGATCATATAGTTGATTATGGAGGAACCTCCAAGGGCACGACCCCTGGGCCAAGCCATTCTTTGTCCCTCGAGACCTAAAATGATTTTAGAATAAGATTTTTTTGATTAGAGGGTTCAGACCATCAACTTCATACCTAAACACATATTATCTTGTTTTTCCATCAGATATCCCCAGTTGTAATCAGTCATCTGGAAGGTAGCACAGATCCCAGGTATATCCGTGATGAAACTAGGTTGTTTTCCTACTTCCAATAGAAGGACCTTCCAGTTGGGGTTTTCTGAAAGTCTATTGGCCAGGGCTGACCCTGCGGACCCGGAACCCACAACCACAAAGTCATAGGTCTCGAATTTGGGCATTACGGGAATAGGTCCTAGGGATAAAAACAAAAAATTTATAAAAATAGTTTTTTAACTTTTTATAAACAAATCTTACTATATTCCACAATGGGTCTCTCATAGGGTTGTTGATAGAACCTCTGCCAGAAGAGAAACTTCCCGTTCCGGTTCATCATTCGCTCGTAATCCGTGGCGATCTTGTTTAACCGGTTTAGGATGTCCACGTTCACCTGCCCCTCGTAATCCGTGACCAGATCTTCATCCTGTTGACCCACCACTGGACCAATCCAACACAAACATGTGACTACCACCCAAATAAGGGTTGTTGTCGTGATGCACTTTAATTTAATTTTTTTCATGTTTGGGTCTGTTTTTTTTTTAATCGGAGCTCTGTATACTTTCTGGGCACAACTCCGACTGACCGTTGGACGTGCGCAGTCAGGTTGATATACACCTGTCTCGCATCCGCAAACACACGCGTATATTATACACGCGCACACATTTAAAGGAAGTGTAAGTCGACCAAGACCAGTTGAGAAATTGCAGAAGAAAGAATAAAAAAAAAACGCACGATAAGACTTGCCCCGATCTTGCTCGGGGAGCCAATGAACTTGACCGGCACTGTGTCTTCTTAAGTATACTTGACTTAAGTTAAGTCAAGTAGACTTAAGTTGATATCAGTGGTTAATCTAACGTGGAAGTTACTTACTTCTATTTTTTGACTTGACTTAACTTAAGTCACTTGTTGGTAAAAAAGTGACTTAAGTCATGTGTGCTCTACATAAATTATAATTATAGTTATATAACTTAGTATTGGTATTTATTATATACTCGTATATATGTGACTTAAGTCATTTCCACATTTAGAAGATATCTACACTTGACTTAAGTATTGTTTTGTTTTGTTTTGGTATTTCTATTGTAATAAAATGTGTTAATATTGGTTAATTACTTAATATCGTAATGAAACACGTGCGGTTGATAAATATCGACATACGCGCGTGTGTGACTTAAGTCACTTTAATATTGTTTTTGTGAATCATTGTGGAATATAGTTTGGAATTTGGCAGAGTACGCGAAGTTGATTTTACCGTTAAGGCGAGTTACGAAACGAGATTAGACTTAAGTCACTAAAATTTAGCGTGTAGTGGTTTTGATTCGATTACGGCACTTTCTGAATGGTCGTAGTCGTAGCACAGTTTTTTTCGGTGACTTAGAACACAAGTTCATAAACCAACGCGATTTATGCCAACGCACGTGTGTGTTTAGAGACTTATCTTAAGACATTAAAAAGAAAAAGTTTGCTTTAATATAATAAAACTGGTTTTTGGGAGTTTGACTTAAATTATGACTTAACTTTTGTTTTAACAAGCTATAATTTATTGATTCTTTCTTTTTTGTTGCAGGTATGTGCCTTTTTTCCTGTGTGGAGATGGTTGGTGTTTTGAGGTAGGTTAGACAAAGATTTGGTTGGCAATTGGTACGCATTCCACGTATTGGCCAAAATTATCCGAAACTGGTCAGGTCAAACGTGATGTGAGTTATCGCTTTGTTGTTTTAATGCGCATCTATAGCTTGAATTAAGTGCAGAGGTGACAGGAATTAAAGTTGATGATTTTGTTGACTTAAGTCAGTTTAAGACTAGAAAATTTCGATTTTTATATATATTTTACTGGTCTGAACTTTTATCAAAGAAATTTATGAGTATTTTTAGAATTTAGACAAAAGGTCATTGGTGTTTTATGACTTAAGTCAGTTACAAGTATGTTTACTGCGCAGAAATCATAACTAATCAATAAATCAATGCTCATATTTGAATTTGGATACATTTTTTATGTAAAACGTAAAATTTGACTTAAGTTAAGTCATGTTTACTTTATCATACTTAAGTCATCTCCCAAACTACTTTTATGTTATCTACCACTACAAATATATTCACCGGATTCAAGGAAATAGAGAAAATATCATTAAAGTTTACTGTACTGTACTTGACTTAACTTAAGTCATATTAAGTTAGTCAGTATTAAAATTTGAATTAATTATGCGAATATTATTATTTGTTTGTTTGTTAACAATATAGTTTTGTCTCGTTTGCGCTATATGACTTAAGCCAGTTTACTGTTTACTGCGCAGAATTAAAAACTAATAAATTAATCGATAATCATATTTTTATACGGAATATATTTTTGTGAAAATCGTAAATTTTGACTTAAGCTAGACAAATTGACTTTATGTTACTTAAGTCACCTCCAAAATTACTTATATATAATCTACTTGTATAAATATTCCCATCAGATTCAATAAAATTGTGTAAATATTGCTAAACTTGATTTTACTGTAACATGACTTAACTTGAATCATATTAAGTGAGTCACAATCAAAGTGCGATCCAGTATTACAATTATTTTCCATTTTTAGATTGTTGTTTTGTCTCGTTTACTCTTTATGACTTAAGTCACTTACAAGTATGTTTACTGCGCGAAAATCATAACTAATAATTAAATCAATACTCATATTTTTATAAAATACAATCTATATGAAACATTTGAAACTAGACTTAAGTCAAAACAAGTTAACTTTATATTACTTAAGTCACATCTCTAAAACTTACGCGTACATATTATTAGCTACTATAAAATATTTGTTAGATAAAACAAAATCAATAAAAAAACTACTTTTAACTTGACTTAACTTAAGTAATATTAAGTAAGTCAGTATCATAGTACCTATATAATTAATTGCGCTATGAATTACATGTTCCAATTACGAAGTTTTCTTGAAATATTAATAAATCAGGAAATATTTAAGAAACTTTTTAAATCAAGGACTATAAATTACTTAAGTCACTTCCGAAAGCGTTCAAATTTCAACTTACATATATGAATATGAATGTATGAATATAAACAGACATTACAAAAACAATTTACTATTGAAATTATACCAAATTTACTTAACTTAACTTAAGTCGCGTTAATTAATTTACTGACCTTATTTTATTAATCATGAATACAACAATACAATTAATATAATTACAATATTTAAGTAAACAAAATAAAAATTAAGTTATTTATATGATATAATAATAGTACTTAAGTCGGTTGTACACATGTACTTAATTTAAGCAAAAAACGTTTTACGTCGGATTTAGTGAGCTTGGACTCGACTGCGTGTGTTTTGATCCTTGACTTAATTCCGACTCTTGCAAATTATCATCTGGGAAAGGGTAGATTCGTACCGGTTGATTATCCTTGACAGGCACCACGTCTTCCCTATTAGAAAATATTTACTTAGTATAGCATACTTAAGCCACATCAAAGTGGTTTTTAATGAGGTGCGAGTTAAGTCACTTTCAACTTCATCGTATGCAACCAAGTTAACACATTTACCTAACTTTACTTAACTTAAGTAACTTTCACTACAACGACTTAAGTCATATAAAAAATACAAATTTATTTACTTACCCTGTAATTCGATATCCTTTATTATCAGCTATGTAGTAAATTGTTTTTCTGACTTCTCCATCACTGAATGAGTAAGTCCCCTTGACTTTGATGCCGGTTCTAACGACCATGCGCATGTGACTTAAGACATTTTCCAAATCCGATTGCATTTTGTGCTCGACACTTGCCATTTCACCACAACTAGTCTCGATTAATATCAAACTTATCACTAATATCACTGATAACGACACAGCCATTTTTAAGTTGTTGATGCGCTGAGTATTGATGACGAAATGACTTTGGATGCGCACCAAATGGCGATTTTATTCGAAAGTCGCTTTAAAAATCGATTAATGTTTTTTAAATTTTCGGGCGAACCGTCCGCCCGCCTTCTAATATACGACTTAACTTAAGTCAAATGTTGTTTGTGTGAATGTGTGTGTTTCGAAAACCGCAAAATGATGCGCCGTCGAGTTGAAAAACGAGTCGCGCGAACAATATGCGAACAGATTTTGAATAAAGAAAAACAACACAATCAATTTGTGTGTTTGACTTAACATTTGACGTCGCAGAATTATGCTAAGTCAATATTGCGCGCGCGCACATGGACATTTCGCTACTTATTTAACTATTTTATTTTGCAGTTAGCTTAAGTTAATCATCATAAAAGATGTTTGTTACGAGAGTTGGAGTGGAGTGGAATTGTAGGTGACTTAAGTCATGTTAATTTTCAAGTATTTGTATTGCATCTGTATACGAAACAGATTTATACGTGTATGTGATCATTAAGTAACAATTTTGAGGCCTTAACCAAATTGACTCAAGGATTTTGCTCCTCCCTCTAATTGTGTTAGGCAACTTTACATACACTAATATGTATAATGTGTTGTCTATATTAAAACACTTTCTATGCGGATTATTTCATATCGATTGTTTATTATATAATAAATAACAAGTAACAATTAATCAACATGACTTAAGTTGAGATGACTTAAGTTGAGATGACTTAAGTTCAAATGACTTAAGTTATGACGACTTAAGTTGAGGTGACTTAAGTTAAGTCAGTTTACTGACGGCGGGAAGCAGCAGCCAAAAGGGTCTCGGTGTCGACAAGACGAGCAGTTGGTTTGTCTGATTGAACGGATTGCACGGTGTATTTCAATTCGGTGCCATGGGCTTGCTGGGCGACGGAAGCCATGCCGTTGAGGTTGACTTTTGGGCCTTCCAGTGGGACTACTTCTTCACCGATAACGCGGTAACCTTTGTCGTCGGCTTCGTATTGAACGGTGCGCTTGAAGTATCCATCGCTGTAGCTGTACATTCCCTTTACGTTCAGACCATCGCGGACTTCCACGCGCTGTTGGCTTTGGTCGTTGATGTGGTCCTCGACGTTGGAAGCAAATTGATATCTAAGGATAAAGAATTGTTTTATAATTTTTTTTTATTATTTTTTTTGATTTTGAGATGACTTACTGTGCGCTTTCGTTTTGGATGATTTCTTTGTCGTGGATTCTTTCGTCGAGTTCTTCAGACCGGCGGGTTTGTGGGGCGCAAAGGGCGACGCCGATGAGTGCAAGGAATACCAACTTGTACATTTTGTTGTTTTGTTGTTGATTGTTGAACAAACAAGCAGTGAATGATGTCTTTTGAGGTTTATTTTGGAGTATTTATACGATTTTTACACTTTTTGTTGTTTTACACTTTTCAAAAACTGTTATCAGTTTATTATTGCCCTTTCACCTTTTATTTTTACCGGATTGAAGTTGTTTGGGTATTTGAAAGTTTAATTATGTTTGAGTATTTATTTTGGTGTTGTGATAATTGATTTGATTTTAATCGCTGTTTTTCCGCTTTAAGTGGTGATAATAACTATTCTTATGCGGTTGTAATTGATTGTTAATGAATTACGTACGGTATTCCAAATATGTGTGTATATGGTAAAAGTGTTAAAACAGTTTTGAAGTGAGTTGCAGTAGTTAAAAAGCGATTAAATTTGTGTTAACCTTGAATACTTTAGTGGCAATCAAAGTTGAAAATGTATTTTCGAAAATTTGGATTTATAAACTTTATATTTTTTATTTTTATTTAATTGTTTATTTTATGTTGTAAATTTGTTTATCTTTTGTGGATAGAGCTAATGGAAAGTTTTTAATATTTTTTGTGATATTTATCGTCTAAGTTTAGCATGGAGATTTTAATTAGGAAAAATTGTGCGAAAAAAGAGTTTCTGATTTTGGATGTTATTTTTTTATGGAATATTATTTTTGGTTTAGTCTAGTTTATTTGTACAAAAAATGATGTTTCTATCTTAATTAGTTTAGGATATATTTACTGTTTTGTGAGTTATTGCGTATTGCAACATTTTCATTTTTAGTTACCATGGGATCTTATGGGAGACTACAATGCCTGAATAAAACACATTGAAATTTTAACTTTTTCAAAAATATTCATATTTTGGTAAATTATTCTTAGTTAAATAATACATTTGTTTATGAAGAAATTTTTGAATTTAAAACAATAGTTTAGAAGTTGTGCGTCACCAAAGTTAAAATGCCAAAATGTAACTTGATATTGTCGGACCTATCAAAGCTTCATCTGACGTTCAAAAGTATTTAGGTTGCAATATAAATATTCCAAATTTATTATAGTTTGTATATATGAAGTTTGATTGATTTGTTGAAAATATTTTTTGAATTATGATAATTTTAGTGCAACAGTGCAAAACGCATTCTTTCTAGTTTCAATTAACATAGGCTCTTATGGGAGACTACAACGCCCGAATAAGACACATTTAATTTTAATTCTTTTAAATACAATTGATTATTCCTACTTAAATCGTGCATATTTATTATTTACAATTCTTCTTCTCCTACTTTTGTTAATTAGTTAATTACAACAAATATTTTATAAGTTATTCTGCATCAAAGTTAAAACACCAAATTTAAACATACACTTGCTATGAGTGTTGGCAAAACACTATTTTTAATTAAACATGCTTACGCTTGAACCAAATTATCTATAATTTATTATATTACACGTGTGCAATAAATAATGTTTAATAGTGCAAAATGCATTATTTTCTGTTTTAAATAACTTGATTTTTTTATGGTAAATATCAAAAAGAAATAAACACGTATCATAAAATTATACTAATTATTGGAAAATTTATTGAGTGTATTTTTAAATTTAACATGCAAATATAGAATGTAAATATCCTCCAATTTTACAAAAAAATACATTATATAACCTGTTATTTAAAAAATCACAAAAAACAATTCTTAAAATTTTTATTCACTTTTTTTACCAACATTAATATTAATAATACATTTATTATCATCAACTACAAACTACGCATTACAATTACATTAATTAAATTAAATAAATTGCAAGTTGTTCCGGATTCACAGCCCTTTGAACATTCAAAAATTTCATCATCATAATCAAGCAACACACAAATAAACAAATAAACTCATACTTAAAACATTTTATTATTATCTAGTTAATTAAATTTACCTACAGTAATTAATTTGTTAAAATGGCTTCTTTAAGGTCCCTCATTTGTTAATAATAATATTTATTTATTACTTCTTCAAAATATCATTATCACTGTCTAAAACCCCAATCTTCTTTGATCATATCCGCACCCTTCTCACCAATCATATAAGTCGGCGCATTTGTATGCCCGGCAATCACCTCAGGCATAATCGACGCATCTATAACCCTCAGACCCTTAACACCATGCACTCTTAACCTAGGATCCACCACAGCTCTCTTATCACTCGCCGGACCCATCTTACAAGTCCCACTTAGATGATAAATCGTAAATGTGAAATGCCTAGCCATACATGCGAAATATTCATCGGAACCATCCTGGTGTTCCTTACAACCCTCAAGAGGAACATGATAAAGCTCAACTCCTAAGTCAGTAAGGGCTTTCTGTCGTGTCACGTTGATTGCAAGCCGTGCACCTGCGACCATCACCCGCATATCATCTTCCACCGCGTAGTAATTCGGGAATAACATTGGTTTGACCTTGTAGTTGTTCGAAGCCAACATAATCCTTCCCCTGGATTTGGGTCTCAACAACATGGGCATGATCATGAAGGAGTTTTTGTTTTCAATCTGTTTGTAAGCTTTGTTATAGATAGAGTCTTGTATTCCAAAGTCTTTCCTCAATAAAGGGTCTGAAACAACTGATCCTGCTGTATATAACAGTTCCATGTCAGGATATCCATCTGGGTTTTTAGGATCACTCAGGTCATAAAAGGTTAAAGCTTCACAACCTCCTGGCATTGCTATGGGACCAGTATGGTAGTTGAGGTAACTCTGAAGGTTTTGGTATTCAATTGCTTTGTCTAGGGTCATGGTGTAAGGTGCTTCCATTGTGAAGGTCAATCCACCCAGAGCTATGTGGTCCATGAGGTTGAATCCCACTTTGAGGTTTTGTATCACGGGGATGTTTAGGGACATTAGGTGTTTCCTGGGACCTACTCCTGATAACATTAATAGTTGTGGGGAGTTGATTGATCCTCCTGATACTATTACTTCTTTGGATGCTTTGATGGTCATTACTCTTCCATTTTGGACTATTTCTACTCCTTGGGCTGTTTTTGTGTTTGGGTCTATTAAGATACGTTTTACCATGGTCATACTTGCTACATGTAAGTTTTTCCTGTGTCTAAATGGTAGGATATATGCTTTGTTGCTGCTATGACGAAGACCATCCTTCAAGGTGCTTTGGAGATAGGATACGCCGGTTTGGGTCTTGCCGTTGTAGTCCACATAGGGTATACCCATTTGTATGTTGGCTTCTACGATTGCTTCTGCTAGTTTTGTCCGGTATGGTGGGTATTTTACTGAGAGGTAACCATCGCTGCCGTGGTATTGAGGGTCATAGGGGGTGTTGATGCTGAAGTTTTCCATTTTGATGAAGAAGGGTAGGACGTCTTTGTATGACCAGCCGGTGTTACCTAGTTCGGCCCAGTGGTCGAAATCACGACGGTTGCCTCTGGTGAAGATCATGTAGTTGAGGACTGAGGAGCCGCCCATTACTTTGCCTCTGGGCCAGTTGCATTGGTTGTTGTCTAGGCCCACGCAGTATTTTTCACTTGGCATTGTACGGTATTTCCAGTTTGCTGAGGAGAACTGGAGGTAATTGGCTAGGAGAGGGAAATCCATCATGTAATTTTCTCTGTCTCCTAAAAATAAAATTAAAATAATTGGTAAAATTTATATTTATTATATAATACAGTGAAGTCTCGATATAACGACAAATTCTGTATAACGAAATTTGTTTCGTTTCTCTTCCAATTTGCATAAAATCCTAATATTTTGTAATTTTTTGTTTTCCTATGTAACGACACCTCGCTATAACGTAAAGAAATGTCCAGACCTTATAGCGTTGTTACAAGAATGCTATCTACAATATAAAAATAAATAGCAAAATCTGTTGGTACGCGCATAACTCAACAACGTTTAGACCATTTTGGCTAATTCTTTTTTTTAAATGTTTGTTAAAGTCTAAGGATGGTTTTTACGGCGAGAAAAATTGAAATAATTGCCGGGAAAACCCTAAAAACATCCTTTTTCTATAGGATAAAAGTTGGCGTTGAGATTCAATCATAGTTATAGTTAAATAGTTGAATCCGAGATGGCGCCCTGAAGTGCATTATTAGCTATTCTTTATATAATTAATTTCTTTAAAATAAAATTGCGAATCTTATTGATAGAATTGACACATACTATGTCAAGAACAAGGGAGTAGAAACAAATTACATTTTAATTAAACACTACCGGGACGAAGTCGGGCAAAAAGTTAGTACTATATAAAAAATAAATAAAAAATAATATTTACCAGCTTCTATAAGGAGAACATTCCATTCTGGATTCTCTGATAATCTGTTTGCTACCACGCATCCTGCAGTCCCAGCCCCAACCACAATAAAATCATAAACCGGACGTAGTTTATCATAGTTTTTGATTCCTGCGCGTATTGATACTGCCCGTAGAATAATGTGTTGACTAATCCTTCGAGGAGTCCTTGTTGTTTAGACCATTGAGGTATCCATGCACAGAGGAAGAGGAGTATCACACAAAACCGCATCTAAAAATATTCAAGGATGTTAATTTAATTTAAACATTTTTTTTTTTAATAAAAGTTCATGAACTTTATTTTTATAATAGTTTTTTTTTTAATATTTTGAACAAGGAAATTATTTTTAGATGTTAACATAATGATTACTGTTATTATTTCATTGGAATTTTGAGGAAGAAATAAACCTTGATGTTGACGATAAAACATTAATGATTAACTACGTGTCAGTAAAACACCAATAAAAAATTATTGATTAAATTAAAGATACATAAATAATCAACTTAACCATCTATGATTATTTAGTTATTAGAATTTTTATATACATTAAAAAGGCGAAGGTGAAGACAATGCATCTATAATGTTATGTCACATCTAAACGAGTTATAATAAATTAATAAATTAAATTAAAAATAAAATTGCATTCTATTCTATTGTATTGTATTTATTGGAATGGTAATTTTATTTTTATATTGTCGTTTTGTCTCGCTTCTCAAATTGCTAATTTATGTGTTTTGTCTATTTTAATTTATCGACGATGACCAAGCAGTATTTTTTATTGACGAGTACTATTGAATTATTTAATAAGCATGGTCTGAAGACGCGTCTAGCAACAATGATTAGGTTTTTTCGTTTCTTTTTTTTCCATCATCAACAGTTCAATGTCAAAGTTAAATGAATTATGATGAGATAATTTATGTTCAATTGTGGTTTTTGGTTTTTAAGATAAAATTGGTTTCGTGTGGGATTTTTGTTAATTTCTTTTAAGAGATTTTTAAATTAGCTCCGGGTTTTTTTGGGATTGGTGTTTAGAGGAGTTGTGATTGGTTTAAAAACAAGGCAGAGCTAAAAGTTATTATATTGTGATTTTTGATGGGTTATATTGTTAGGAATATGTTAAAATATTTAGATTTTTGTCTGAGTATGATTTGGTTGAGATTGGTTTTTGACTTGATTTGCGCATGCGCAAGTGACTTAACCAATAATAGACCTATTAGGAGATGATTTAGATTTTAGTAGTTTTTTTTAACCTATTTGTGATTTTTCTAGTCTAAATTTAATATTTTTAATTTTAATTTTTGCAGTTTTTGGTTGAAAATTAATTTTTTTTATCAATTTTTACAACTAATAATCATTTTTTAACAGTTTTTCTTAGTTATATACTAAACTATTTACTTTTTATCTCTCCAAAAGTGATTTAGTCACTAATCTCTTTCTACACTTAGCGCATGCGCGACTCTCTCAACCAAGTAGGCGGAGCACAACTATCACCAATACGTTAAAATACCCAACTTTATAATATTTTAATCTCCAAAATTTAATTTCTTAATTAATTACATTACAACTTCTTTTACATTCTGTCACTTTGGTGATTGTACATAATTCTATGACTTTACTGTCAGCCGCATGAAATATGAAGCCGAATTCCACACACTTTGTATGTCACGGACTGTTTCATAACATTTCGTCGTTTTTTTTTTATTGCCAAGTTTAGACCGAATTTAGACTAAAACTACTACTACTCTTACTAAGTAAGAAAAAATAATAAAAAATAAAATAAAACTATAAACAAAACATTGATGCAAATCTACTTAGTGACAAACTTTAATTTTTAAAATTTATTGCTTAATTTTATTTATTTCCTTGAGATAAGCCAAAAAAAAAAAATATAATGAAATAAATAAAATTACAATAAGTTTTAAGTCAAAAGTTAAGTCGTTTTAATTTTTTTTCTACTTTAAGGAAGTCAGTTTCGTGTGGATTGCACGATATGTTCAACATGCAAGAGTTTAATTTTGAATTCTTTGCACCGGGAAGGAAGTTACAGTGCTGTTTTTTTTAGTAACCAAAATTGTAACTTGTGATGAAATCACCCGCCGAAAATTTTCATATTCTCATATATAATTAAAATTGCATTATTATATTGTTACACCAAAAAATATTCTGCAATAATAAGCTATTATAATATAATAACAAAAAACGAAAAAATTTAATTTAAAAATTATTTTATGAATGTTAAGTTCACATTAACTAGATCAATCGAAATGTAAGATTATTACACAAATTAGCAACTAGTGTTTAAAATAATATTTAATAATATTTTAATATTTGTGAATGTTGACTGCTAAGTCAAGTGTTGGTTGGTTGAGTCAGGAGTTGAGTAACTTTTTAAGTAGACTCCGACATTGACCATGATACGAAATGCGAATCGACTCGAAACGCATTCGAACCAGTGGTAATGTTGTAGTAGTAGTAGTTCTTGTTTGAATTTATTTAGTTAATTTCGATGGCGCAATATGTAATTTTAATTTTTAGTGCAACGGATCCAGTTTAAATACCAGCTCAGTGGTTCAGCTTCGGAAATTTATTAGGATTGCTTCATTAATTAATGACTTGACTAAAATTATTTTGGACAGATTTTAATTCGGATGATTTTAAGATTTTATATAAAATTTGGCGGATTGAGAGTAAAATCGTAAGGCGTGACATATGTAATATGTTAGTGTAATTAGTTTTGTGCTGTGGTTGAAAATTGACGGTAAATTAGTTTTTTGGTAATTTTATGGTGTTGCGCATGCGTAAGTGGTAATTTGCTCCGCCTATTTGACTTAAGTTGGTTGCATGCAATGGTAGAGTAAATAATTTGTTTATTTTTGTTTGAAAGAATTTTTTGGGATTTTTTAAAATTTAATATGAAAAATTTATGTTACTTAAGTCGGACCTTTAAGTTGACTTAAGTCAAAAGTTGAAAAGTACAAAAGTTTTATGTCTTTTTCCATAAATTTTGTTTACTTGGCGAGATTTGACCAATCACAGCTTACTGGTGCTCTTATTATAGGTTAAGTCAAGTGGGCGGAGCAAAAAGTTAGTTTTAAGTCAATAATAACACAATTTTGACATAATTTTGTTAATAAAATTAACTTAACTTAGTCTCATGTGATACCAGAGCAAATAATTTGTTTAATTTTTGTTTGCAAAAAGTTTTTATGTCAGTTTTTGTATAAAAGTGCTTTTATGTTAGGTTAAGTCAAGTGGGCGGAGCAAAAAATCAATTTTACACCATTAATGACACAATGTTGACATAATTTAATAAAAAAAAATTATCTCCTTGATTAGATGATACTTTCAATTTACTTTCTTAATTTTTATTTATTAATAAATTATTAAACACTTTCCAATGTCACAAAATTGCAAATGCAAAACTCATAATTATACAATTGTTGCAATTCTTATGATTTTATTATATATTATTACTTATATTATTAATGCTCAAATGTGCTCAGTACATGCAAGTGTAAAGTAGTAGTTTTTTAAAGTTGGTTGAATTATTTTTTTCTGTGTGAATTTGTGTGAGTGTGCAGTTAGCCCGGTCAGCCGGTGACCATGGCATCGATTCTTCAAACCGAAATTCTTAAATTATTTTTTATTGCTCCGGGACTAGGCGTGCGGCTTGCGTGTGCGCATTTCGGTTGCACATTTCAATTGAAAGTCAACTGCGATCGTAAACAAGGTGTAAGCAGTAAACACATTTTTATTGTGATCATCAATTGTTATAAACAATATTAGAATATATTTTTAAAATTTAAATTTTTGTTTTGATGTTTATTTAAATATTTGCACGTGCTTCAGCAATGCGGAAAACATTAATGTAACGTGTGAATGTGTGGAATTAATTCGAATTGAATTTTAAATGAATTTAATTGTTGGAAATTAATTCTGAGTGAGGTTAAATCCTTGAGTTTAAAAGTTTTAAGTTAATTTATTTCCGTTTTGTTGCTAATTTTGATGATTTTTTGTGTTTTTTTGGTGAAGAAGCTCCGCCTACTTTACTTAGGAGGTTATAACCTATCACAATGTCAAGGGGGCGGAGCTTATCTCATGAAAATCTTATTTAAATTCGATTTTTTGTGGTTTAATTACGTTTTTATTATAATTTTATATTTTTTGTTCTTAAATAACAAAGAATTCATCATTCAAGTTCTAAAATTGAACCGCCCTTGAACTTACTTAGAATATACCGTACTTAAGTCTGCAAATTTAAAATTCAAGTCTGCGAATCCCGCGAAAGAAATAAATTTGCATCAAACAGTCATAAAACTTTTTTAAACAAGTACTTTTCATCTTTTTCAACTTCTGACTTAAGTCAACTTAAAGTTCAGACTTAAGTAAAAAAAATAAAATAAAAATATGATGACTTAACTGTAGATGCAAGTTCAATTCCCATATAATTTATTTCCATCAAATAAACAGTAAAAATTTATATGTGACTTAAGTTAAGTCAAGTTTATGATTCACTTACAATGCAGTTTAAGTTATGGGGAATTACTAAATTTTATCAACGCATTAGCACTTTTACTCAAATTAAGTCAAAATATATTTTTATGGTGACTTAAGTAAACCTAATTAGAGTAAGCAGTGACGAGTGGGTTATTATTGGGAAATATGAAAAGTGAATTTTATTAGGTGTTAATTTAACTTTACTCAGAAATATGAATTTTAATGTGAAAAGTTTAGTATTTTGCATATTATTCAAAAACTATTTGAGATATTATTAATTTTTCTTAAGAAATATATTCAGTATTAAATTCTTTGTTAATAGGGCATTGAATTAGGTTGATATGATTATTACATAAAAAGTTATAAACAATTAAAGTTCAAATTTGTAGAAAATTTTTAAGTTGACGTAAATTTGTCAATAACTTTTAACAGAAATTTATTATAAACAATATACGTACATTAAATGTTGAGGAATTTAATAATAAATAGATTGTTAAAAAAATTATTGTTGTAAGTTGATTAGTTTATGAATAATTGAATAAAAACTAATTTATTTACGCGCCTCGTAAAATTACAGTCTATTGACGTCTATCTCGTGGAATTTTACGTCCATATAGTCTATTAATAACTATTAAAATTACTTACGTTTCATTGTAAAAGTCATTATGAATGATAAATAAAAAGGTATTGAATTTTCCCACTTTTTATCAATCAATATGATACAATTAATCAACCTCAATGATTTTGTTTACCTTGAAATTCACTTATTTCCGCGGAAATTTAAAAACACGCATTTACTAATTACGCATAATTGTGTAATTTATTTGTTTATTAACAATATGAACATTTCTGTTGAAATTTTGCAAGAATATCGATTGATTTATGAAAAAGTCATTGAAATCGACCTTAAAATTTGATGCAAACTTGTTTCTTAAATTTAATTCAAGAACAACATGATTACTTAACTTAACTTAACTCAACTTAACTTAAGTAATATTAACTTAAAATACTAACCTTTATATTTTTGCGATTTTATATCGATACACTATATTTTCAGTCCACTGATGATAAAATAGAAACAGAACTTCACTTGACTTAACTTAAGCAGGGTTGAGTTGGCGTGTGTGATGCGCACACCTCGCGCACCGACTTAAAAATAAAACTAAGCCGGAGAATAAAAACAAAACACGCGCGACATACACTCACGTTTTAATGTAGCAAGTAACAAGTAGCAAGTGGCGAGTGGATGCGTGCGCCAAGCTGACTTAAGTCCAGTCAACACACACGTAGCTATGCTATGCCATGCGCCGCGCTTGGTATATACATTCAATCGAGCTTTGGCCGTGATAATGTAACGTAATGTGAGTGCAACTTTTGAGACCCTGAAATTTCGTACGTTAAGTCACTTTGGTGCTTATACTGGTATTGCCCGCGGTGGATCTGTGAATTCTGCACGTAGACCAGCGATTAAGTTACTTATCGATGATTGTTTTATGTAAATTGTTGTAATAAAAGGAATAATGCGTAATTAGCGATGTGAAAACACGTTGTTTTGTTGGTTTGTGGAATTTTGGGCTGAGACGTGTTGAAATTTTCGATTATAATCATGTCTAGAGGAATATTTTATGAATATTCATCGATGCATTCTGGTGCTATTAAAATTAAATCGTTTATTATAGTGTTAATTAATGGTGATATCGATGGATATCTGATGGAATTTTACTTAAAGTTAAATTAAGGATGTTGTGTGGTAATTTTGTGAAGATAGCTGCATGTGGGGGCGCTGTAGGCTTAGAAAACCAGCTGAAAACAAAATGTCTGAAGTGATTTTTATCTTTGATTGCGGATTACGGACAAAGTATTAGAGATAAATTAATTTTGTTTTTGTTAAGTTAAAGGTAATATTATGGAGTTTTATTGATATTATTTTTAAATAAATATCTTTTAAAATGGCGTCAGAAACATTAATTTTATTAACAATTTCAAAAATGTTTTTTTCTTTTAATTTGTGGATTAAACGAGGTGTTAACGATTTTAATGAAATTTTGTTTAATATTATGAAGAGTAAAGATGTTTTATTTTAGATTAGTTTGGTTAGCTGAATGTGGTGGCGCTGTAAACTTAGAAATTCAGCTGAAAACAAAATGTCTGAATGAATTTTTATCTTTGATTGCGAATAACAAACAAAGTATTGTAGATAAATAAATTTTGTTTTGGGCAAGTTGAAGATAATATCTTTAAGATTTATTGTCATTATTTTTAACTAAATATCTTAATAAATGACGTCAGCAGCTTAATTTTTATTTACATTGATCTCGAATAAATTTTTAACTCTTATTTTGTTTATTATTTAATCACATCTTGGGATTGTAATTTTAAAGGTATTTTATTTGAACAATGATTGTTTAAATTATATGACTTGTTTTTAAATTAACAATAATTATATTATTGATATAAACGTATAAAAATTTCAATACTTGATTTTTTTTTGTGTAAATATTGAAACATTGAACATAATTCGCGTAACTAATCGGCAAATATTAATTTAATACTATTTATCTTGTTTAATATGAACGATAAATGGTGCTACGTGCATGACTCCACGTGTATTATTAATTTATATTTTTTAATTTTTTGTTTTATTAAAGAAATTGTGATCAAATTAAAAAGTAAAAAGAAGAAATTTATTATTGCAGTTTAGTCTAGTGTGAATCGTTAACAGTTTAGTATTTTATTCTATTTTTTTTTATTTCTATTTGTTTATAACACTATGTTGTAAGTATTTTGTCCATTTTGTTTGTTCAGCCATTGAGACAAATACTTGAGCTTTGAGACACTTTTGCATTTATGCTGTTTGTTGTATTTTAAGTGTCGGATTATGTTTAGTCAAGGTGTCAATTAAAAACCAAGATATAAATCATTAATAACTTTAAGTTTAGCGTTTGTTTTGATCTGCTTTGTTCTTTATTTGTTTATAATGAGTCAATTTAACTAGCAGGAAACGTTTTTTTCTTTCTTTCAAAGAATACGTGCGAAATTCTTGGAATGCATTAAACATGCATCAGGAGTTGCTTGTAACCTTGTCATTTTATCGTCAAATTGATTGATTACTATACACGTTTAGATTTTTTAAATTGTTTAATAATAAGAAATAAAAAAATTTAGTTGACAGTTTGTTTTGTTGTGGAAAACATGAATTATAAACACGCAAAATGAAAATTTTTAGTTTTCAGTGTTTAAAGTTATGATTTTAAGCACTAGTGCAAAAGTATATTTTGTATCAAGTGTATAAAATGGTTGTTTTTGACGTTTACGTGCTAAAAAATGTATATTGCCCTTTAATACTCTCGTTTTGGACACTCACGTGCAAAATATATTCTTTATACATGCTCTTGGGTGAAAAATTGCAATTTAAACACGCAAAATGCAAAAATTCAATTGTTTATGTATAAAGTTATAATTTAAGCACTAGTAGAAAAAGTATACACATGCTACAATGTGATTATTTCTATTTAACCAAAATTCAAAAGATTCAGTTTTTTGCTTATAAAATAATACATTTAAGCACTAGTGCAAAAAGTATACTTTATCTCGAGTGCGTAAATCAATTTCTTGATGTTTATAAATTTACATGTCTAAAATATGCATTTTATACACTTAATTAACACTTTTCGAACACTAACATATAAAATACCTACTTTACACATCGTTACAATTAATTTTATGCACAAGGACAAAAATAAATCATTTGCACATTTTACCAATAATATTTTGACATATTATTCACTTAGCAACTATGCATACTCAATCAATTCCGGTTTCGTTTCGTTATTTCATTTTGCTTCCGCCTCAACATTTCATTTATTTCATTTAAAATTCTTGTGTTTTACTAATGGGAGCACTTTTTACTTTACGCATTCGCGTTCTGCGCAATTAACTATTCCGTAAAATTTCGTACATTGTTGCGTGGTGTGGAAACCCGCTTAAGTCGGCCGGCCGCCGCAGTAAACCAGCAAATTCTGATAATATAATTAGCCGAAAATTGCACACAACCAATCTGTGCACAAAAGTTGATTTTATAAAGCGAAATATTTTTGGGAAATATTTAATAACTTTTTTTTCTTTTTCTTTTTTTATTCTTAATGCAACCGAAATGTTGGCCAATATTTTTATTTTACAATCGTAATAAGTAGATGCAGATGGAATAATTGTGAGAATTTTTGCTGAATTTAGGTAATTACAGTTTGGTATTATACAAAAGTAGTTTAAGTAAGTTTTCGTCTGTGGTGACAATGACCTTGGAAGTACTTACGTTGTCTGTGTGTGTGTGTGTTTGCGGTTTTTGGGTTGTGGCTTACATTTCATTGGCAACCAGTTTGCGATTTCATAATCCGAAGACGAAAGACGAAAGACAGCTGTGCGTACGTGCGGCCGCGCATGAAAGACATGATTACTAGCTGTAGGGAATTAAAAATGGCGCGATGTCATTTTTAACAAGTTGCGCCATCTATTAGATTAATTTACAAGTTCATATTTTTATTTTATTTCTTTACATCGAATTAATAGCGTTGATATTTAAATATGAATTATAATTTATTGCTAGTTTTGAACTTGTTGAACTTGAGCGAGTAGATTGTGTTAAAGATGAAGATGATGAAGATGAAGAAGATTCTTGTTCCTTGCATTATGAATGATTGATTGTTTTTTAGTTGGTGCGTGGATAGTTGCGAAATTTGTTATTTTTTGTTCACGTGCAAGCGAGGATGATTTATACCTAATATAATTATATTCACTGTGTGTGTTTTTACGCTTTGGCTGATTATATTAAACTCTGGTAAAGCGTTGTTAATGAATGCGTGACATCAGCGTAAATTAGGATTATAATTGAGGTCAAGAATTACAAAAATTATTGGATAGGTAAAAAGTATGAAAATTGTTTTTTCAAAAGTAAATACAGCCCTGGTTATTAATGTTAGTAATAAAAGTTGTGTATTTGTAGATAGTTTATAGTCGTAGGAAAAGATTATTTTAATTAATTTTTTGATATCTTTGATGGTTTTTGAGATATTTGATGTTGAAGATGGGTGAAGATATATTGATCACAAAAAATGCATTTTGACTTTGAGGTTGAGTACAACTTTCATTATCAATGTTGTTTTATAAATTTTAGTATTTATATATGCTTCAGACCTTCCTGAACATATTATTTTAATAAAGTTTTTGGTATCTTTAATATTCTTGAAGATATATGCTTTTAAACATAGCGAATGAAAAACAAGTACAAATATAACAATATATAATTTTGTTTTTTGTTAAATACGTCTCTGGAATTAATATTATTGTCAATGATATAATTTTATCTTTTAGTTTATTTCACTCCAAATAATTTATCTCTTTACATTTTCTGATATCTATAATAGTTTTTGAGATATTTGCTTTCAAACATATTTTACACCAATTTCTTCAATAAATTATCATTCAGAACCTTTAAAGCCATAGCCTTCTTTGATCATATCTGAAACCCTCTCTGCAATCATAACAACTGGTCCATTTGTATGCCCTGCCATGATTTCCGGTATAATCGAAGCATCTGCAACCCTCAAACCTTTGATACCATGCACTCTCAACCTTTGATCCACCACACTTCTTTCATCTTCTTTGGGACCCATTCTACAGGTCCCTGATTGATGGTATATCGTTATAGTGTAGTACCTTGCAAGACACTCGAAATATTTATCCTCTTCCTCCTCCAGGGAAAGGGACATTCTTTGGATAAAACTTTAAGCAGTTTTACATTGAGTTTCTTCTTCAGGGACTTTTGACCCATGATCTTCATTGCAAGTTTGATACCCTTGATCATTGTCTTAACATCATCAGGATGTGAGAGGTAATTGGGGACTATAATGGGATGTGAATTTGGGTCAGTGTCTCTTAATTGGACATACCCTCTACTTTTGGGTCTTAACAACATGGGGAATACCGTGAAACCCTCTGAATTCAAAGGGACATAATCTTTGATATGTTTCTCTTCTATCCCAAAAATATCTGTTATAAATTGCGCCATTGTAAGTTGACTTGAGATGTATAACAATTCAATATCAGGATAACCATCTGGGTTTTAGGATCTGTTGAGTCATAGAAGGTCACCACCTCACAACCACCTGGTATGTTCAGGATCCCATCATGACTATCCAAATAACTTGGTATTGCCGCTAAGGCTCTAGTAACTTTTATTGAGTAGTGCAGGTCTTGGTTGAACCTAAAGGTCAAACTTGTCGCTATGTGATCCATGAGGTTCTTACCAACTGGTAAATTCTTCACAACAGGAATATTAAGATTTTTCAGGTGTTTCTCAGGACCTATACCTGATAACATCAAAATTTGTGGTGAACCCACCGCTCCAGCACTCAAGATAACCTCCTTGCTGGCATAGATATGATATTTTTTTTCCTTACGTTCAAAAACCACACCTATAGCCAGGGTACCATCAAGTATCACCTTCTGAACAACAGCTTGTTTGATCAAGTGTAAATTAGATCGGTTTTTGATTGGTTGTAGATACGCATCGGATACACTATGTCTATAACCATCTTTTTGATTCACCTGGAGGTAGGAGACACCTGTTTGGGTCTCACCATTGTACTCCACCAATGGTATACCATATTCCATATTGGCTTTGATTATTGACTTACTTATATTAGTCTTTCCATTGGGGTATTTCACTCCTAAGGGACCTGTTGATCCTCTGTATCTAGAATCTTTATATTTTGATGGTACAGAAAAGGTTTCTAATTTTTGAAGTATGGTAGGACCTTTTCGTAGGACCATTCAGTGTTACCCATTTTGGCCCAGTTGTCATAATCTCTTCTGTTACCTCTGGTGAAGATCATATAGTTTAGGACACTTGAACCTCCGATTATTTTACCTCGAGGTAATCTACATTGATGGTTGGTCATTGCTAGACAATAAGTATCACTTGGTTCAGAGGTGTAGTTCCAGTTAGCTGAGGTCAGTTGCAGGATAGGGGCCATTAGGGGTATATCCATGAGCAAATCAGAATCATAACCTAAAATAACAAGGTTTAGGGTTATATTTTGATCAAAATAGGGTTAAGGGATCATACCTGCTTCTATAAGTAACACAGTCCAATCAGGGTTCTCTGTAAGCCTGTTAGCTATCACACAACCCGCAGATCCTGCCCCCACGATGATGAAATCATAGGTATCTCGAAGTTCTAGGGTTTCCGGTAGGGTCCTCTCGAAATCCTCTATGTAATCCCCAGCAAAATTCAAAAGACCTGCGAGAATTTGCAACAGGATCATTGTACTATCAAAGATTACTAAAATTTGGGATAAAGTTGTACCGAGACAAATTATAATTAATATTTCTTTAATCAACGTTGATAATGTTGACAATGGACATGATTAAAAACAATAAATTTACACGCACGATAAAATGGCACCCACGCACATTGTCTCTACATTGGTCTCTCTATCTATCTGTATACGTATTTACATCACAACATCCAGTCCTCTTTGATGAGGTCAGCCCCTTTTCGCCCACCATGATTGCTGGTGCATTGGTGTTTCCGCTTGGTATTGTCGGCATGATGGAAGCATCTATCACCCGCAGACCTTGGACGCCGTAGACTTTGAGTCTGGGATCTACTACTGCTTCGGGGTCCCATTCGGGGCCCATTTTGCATGTGCCCACTGGATGGTAGATGGTCATTGATATTGTTCGGATATGGCACTCCCAGTATTTGTCTGACCCGAATTTGTATTGTCTGCAGTTGGGGAAGGGTATTGCGTGGAGTCTGGAGTTGAATTGTTTGAATGCCTGGGCTCGGGATACGCGGATTGCTAACTTGGCGCCTTCAACGAGGGTTTGCACGTCGAATGGGTCTGCAAAGTAATTAGCGTCTATTTTGGGATAGTGGAATGGGCTTCGAGATTTAAGTCGGACGGTTCCACGGGATCTAGGGCGGAGGAGTAGGGGCATTATGGTCCATGCATCTCGGTTTGCTATGGGTCTATAGACTGTGTTGTATAGTTGGTCTGTTAAGCCTAGGACCTTTCTGACTTTGACCCCGTTGTCTGAATTGATACTGGCTGGGGCCATGTGGAATTGGATATCGGGCCAGGAACGGTTACCATATTTGGTATTCATGAATGCCAGGCCTTCTACACCTCCCAAAGTGGTCATGGGTCCTGTGCCTTTCATGATATACTGCATGGTCATTTGAAAGGCTTGGAAACGGCTCTGGACGATTGCTATGGGTTGGTCCACTAGGAAAGTAAGACCTCCCATACCCACGTGGTCTTGGAGGTTGTTTCCTACTGGCAGATCTTTCAAAACAGGGATTTGGTGTTCTGTTAGATGATCCCTGGGACCTATCCCTGATAACATCATTAGTTGAGGGGTATTGATTGCCCCTGCACTGAGTATGACCTCTTTTCGGGCCATTACTACCAGTTTACGACCATTCCTAACAAATTCCACTCCGAAAGCTTTCATGGTCATTGGATTGATTAAGATTCTTGTTACATGGGAGTTTAGGGCTACATGAAGGTTTCTTCTGAGTCTTATCGGACGTAGGAATGCTTTGGCTGTGGAACATCGTGACCCTCTTCTGATGGTACCCTGGGCAACCATGAAACCATCCTGGTGTTCACCGTTGATGTCCCTGTTTTGGTATCCTAGTTCCTTACCGGCTTCCACGAAAGCCAAGACCAAAGGGGTCCTCCATGGGGATTCCTGAACAGTAAGATAACCTCCTGTTCCATGATATCCACCATGTCTCAGGTACGGATTTCGATTGTCTTCTGATTTTTAAAGTAATGCAGGACTTCATCATAGTTCCAACCTGGGATTCCCCATTTCCTCCCAGAGGTTGTAATCATTTCTATTACCTCTAACGTACAACATGTAGTTTAGAACTGAGGACCCACCGAGGACTTTACCTCTGGGCCAATTACACCTGCCATTCTTCATTCCCAGACAGGCCCTGCCAGTGGGTTCTATTTTATACGCCCAGTCCAGTTTGGAGAGTTGCAGGTATGCTGCTAGGGATGGGACATCCGATATCTCATTTTCATCAGGTCCTGCTTCCAATAACAGGGTCTGCCAACTTGGGACTTCTGAGAGTCTTGATGCTACTACAGCTCCAGCTGATCCACCTCCTACTACTATGAAGTCATATTCTCTATACAGGGTCCTCGCGTCTATTGGAGGTGCTTCCGGGTCATATCTGTTGTAGTTGTTATAGGTTATACCTGCGAGGAGTAAAGGGACCAGCCAGAGACCCGAACCTACGAACCCTAAGGTCTTCAGGGCCGTGGTCACGAATAATGTTCCTAATATCATGGCAATCTACAAAATATTAATTTAGGACCTGATTTATTTAAAACCTTTTTACTTACCTGGTTAATACTATTCCTTAATGCTAATGACTAAAAATTGATTCTGGTTGTCTCTGAGTTGTCTGACTAGATTCAATTGTCTATTCTATGAAGATTCTTCTTAAAATCCACTTATTTTATTTTTTGATTAAGTTTATGATTTCTTCGTCTGGGGGTCTTATCAGCATGCCATAGTTAAATTCACTGGATGAGTAGTCCACCAGATGGTTAATCATGATATTAATCCGCGTCCATTTGGCTGGAAACTGGAAAATTGAACACAAGTTGCAGAGTTTCTCTTTGTGCATTTCTTACTCAATGTTTTTTTTTTCAAGTTTAAACATTTTATTGATAATATAAGTGTTGTGACAAGCGTGTAATAAGATAACGTATGATTATTGCGATGTAATGGACCGGAAAATTGTTGTGCTTAAAATCGCGTTTTATGACTTGGCAGATTCCACGTTTTATGTGCGCAATCTGTGAAAACAATCAATTCTAACTAAGATTGTGATTTCCGGATGACTACGCGGGATGAATAAATTTTAGCTTCTTCTGGTTGCATCTGAAACTTTCTCAAGAGATAAGAAATTAAGAATTTAAAAATGTTTTTTTCTATTTTTGGTTGTAGTTTTTGTTCCAGAAGAGATACAGATTTGATTTTGGGTTTGTTTTATAGCTGATTAAATATTCTATAAGATAGGTTATTTGTTTTTAGTAAAATATTTGTTTAAATATGTTTAAAATTTGTTTTAAGTTGACTTAAGTTTTTTAAGTTCATGAAATCAATGCATTTTTATTTTGTTTTTGTTTGTAGTTTCTTTTCCTGATTAGGTAGAAATATAATTTCCTGTTTATTTAAAAGCTGATTAAATTTCCTAGAAGATAGTTAATTTATTTATATGAATATATTTGTTTAAATATTTTTAAAATTATTGTAAACTTTTCGTTTGTCAATTTTTAATTTTAATTTTTATGATTTTTGTTTGTTTTTACTTAATAACTTTTAAATTATTATTTATTATTATAATATTTAAACATTATTAAATTGTAAATTAAATTTCCTTTAATTTGATGTATATCTTGATATAATTCTCAAATTGGAAAGTCTTTCTACCTTCACTTAAAGTTCATGAAATCAATCCGCCAGCGTGATTTGCATTTCCATACAAATACCCATAATAATCTCCTCGAATAAAAAATGCATAATGCAGGTGTAATAATAAATAGAATGTTGTGCATTATACGCGCATGCGTGTACCAGTTGATAATGACGCCACAGGAACTCGGAACTCGGAACCGGCAACGATCGAAACAAGGAACTAAGACACTTGAGTCATTTAAGTCAATCGCGCATGCGCGCGCGATTCATTCATTTACCATGGCGCTCCAATCAGGAAACGCGGAAGTTGAATAGCCCGCATGATGGCATGGAAAAGTTCCGATTCATTATCCGTAACGAATGGAATTGACTGGCGTAAAATTTATTCATAAATCAACACAATAACTTGTGTCTTAAGTACAAAAATATCGGTTGCTATTGAGTGTGTGTATAATTGCAATTTTATTGAAATGGTTTAAGTCAAGTTTAAGAGCAAAGCAAACGAATTTCATCGGAAATCGTGTAATCCATATATTCGCAAAACGCCGCGCAATGCGGATAAACACGGCGCGCATAACTTTCCCTTTTACCGACCTGACTTAAGACGTTCGAGACTTAAGTCATGTTGCACTTGATGAAAGTACAGGAAGTCCAAGTGCAAGAGCAAGTACTTTGTGTGCGATTCAGACCAAAAAAGGACGAAAAAACGATGCAGGAAGTCAGACACGACTTAAGTCAACTTTGTACGTGGTAAAGTTTAAGTTTAAGTGTGCTTTGCTTCAACTTTACTTATTCTCTGAGCAAATTTAAAACAGAATTAATTTTATTAGACTTAAGTCTGAACTTAAGTCCAATGTTACTTAAGTTAAGTCAAGTCAATAAAAATAAAAATAGTTTCAATGATCTTTTGTGTTGTATTTTTTGTTTATTGCTTTATTCGTGCTTAAGTCACTTTGGGAATTTTTCTTTTCTTTGTCTTGCGTTGCGTGTGGGTTAAGCTAATACGTAATACATGCGCGACTTAAGTAACACGAAATAATGTGAAAGTTATTTCGGTTGATCGCGTGTGCTTCTTCTCGTCTCATTCGGCGTGTGTTTTTTCGCGCATGTTGATATTATTATTCAACAAGTTGAGGTGAATTTCGGAACTTGATATGGACACGAAATGTGACCACATGCTTTTTTTATTATCATAATTTTTGGTTATGTTATGTCATGGTTTTCTCCATTTGTGGAGAAATTTTGGTTTTTGTTTTATAGACTGATGGGGAATTGCTGTTGAGTTTTGAAATTTTGGTGGTTTATAGAGGGATAAATTATCTTTAATTTGATGTGTAAATATACAGGGTGCGATAATTTTATCATCAATAAAATTGAGGTTGAAAGTGACTTAACTTATCAACAATAATGATTTTAATTATGAATTGACTTGTAATGTCTTCCTGGGTCACAATAGTTTAATTATTTTTGCTGGTGTAGATTGCTAGTTAATTTCTCTTGAATTATATATTAAGTTATACAGGATGTGATAAATTTATCCTTATTAAATTGATACTAAAATGATTTAACTTATGAAGAACAATGCTTTTCATCCGTAATTGACTTATAATACCATGACGAATTATTATAAATTAATTATTTTTGTTGATATGCATTATTAATTAAATTATCTTTAATTTGATATAAAGTTATACAGGGTGTGACTATATCATCATCCTTTAAATTGGTTTTAAAGTGACTTAACTTCTATTTCGACGTTTTTCATCAGAAATTGATTGTAACATCTTTAAAAATAGCAATAAATGAATTATTTTCGTTTACATCCATAGCTAATTAAATTCCTTTTAATTTGATATATGAATATACAGGGTGCGACAATTTTTCCAACCGAAATCTGAAGTCAAACATGTGAGATAAAAATGTTGAAATTTCTGCTTTGGTCTTTCTCCGCTCCGAAATTAAAAATTAATTATTCCGATCGTTTATCGCGTGTTGCGCTCATTATGCGTGTTAATGATGATTACAGCAGTGGCGACGACGACTCACGACTGCATACTAATCGCCGTCATTATTTCGTAATAAAATCTTTTCTCTTTCCTTCGTTCCTTCTTCCTTCCTTTCTTCGCATTAAATGCATGTACATACAAGTTTTTTACGTTTCTATCCGCCTACTTTCGTTTCAACATGTCCAACATGTTGATATTATAACATAATATAACGTAATATAAAAATAAAATCAATGAGTTGACTCAACTTTATCTCCGAGATGTTTAAGTCGACTTAGTAGTCACGCATGCGCATACTGCTTAGTGGGTTTGGATATACGTATTTGATGCATGGTGCTGTGGTTTACGGTTTGGTTTCGAATCGGATCGAACGGTAAACACGCGGCGAGAGTAAAGTCGTAACTTCGTAATCGGTCGACGTAACGCATAAAACCGGATGAAAGTGAAATTTTGATCGAATGCGATGGCTAGCATACACGAACATGAATATGGATGCGACGTTTACACGGCTTATGTAATGCGGAACCGCGTGTTGAATATGATAAATACTAAGTTTGTTTTGTTGTTGTTGTAATTATATATTGTTTAAGAATCATTAACTTCACATTTAAAAATTGATATTTTATGTGTTTTAAAACAAAAAATTAAATATAATTATTTTAACCATAATTTAAAGCTGTTTTAAGATGTGAGGAAGCTGTAAATTTTGCGGAAGTTGATAGAGGGTTAAATTATCTTTAATTTGATGTATAATTATACAGGGTGTTGTTAATTTATCATTGTTTTATTTGAAGTTTAAATTAAAAAGTAAAATTTGCGTTGTGAAAATTATTATCTTAGTTATTTTTTAATAACTTTTGCCTGCATCAAGATAGAACTATAATTCTTTCAATATTTGGTAGCTAGATAAATTGGCTTTAATTTGACACCAAATTATACAGGGTTTCACATATTAATTGTTGTTAAATTTAAAGTTGAAAAATTATTTCACTTTTTAAGTATCTATAACTTGAAATATTTTATTTATTATTATATAACTTTTTTAACAGTATATTTCAACTTTTATTTTATGTTTATTAGATAAATATTTAAATTATCTTTTATTTGGTTGCATAAATAATTAAATTACACCTAATAATACTAGGCTTATACTCTTTCAAAGTTGGTACTAATGAAAATAAAGTTTTGAAAAGTATTGAAGTGCAAAAAAGTGAAAAAATGCAATTTAAAGAAGCTATTATCATGAATTATCTTTAATTTGACATTTACGATTGTGACATAACAAAATAAATTGCAATAAAACGAAATAAAGTTCTTCAACAAAAGAGTTCCATGGTTTGCAACATGAAAATAATAAAAATAATCATAAAAATGTTGCAATCCTGCACTATTGCATTATATCTGTGCTAAAGTGTTGGTAAAATACCACAGATTTATTCGTATCATACTTAAGCACTTATTGCAATTTCATATGTTGTTCTGAAGAAGAAAAAAAGCGTAGAAATTTTGCAACACTAATCGAAATTGTCGAAAATATTCGAATGTAGAATGTCAAAAGAACATTAGAAGATAATTTAATGAATCATGAACATTGGCACATTCCATCTTAAGTTAAGCAATGTGAATTTTGACGGTTATTTGTAGAAATTGATTTCATGCTTAAACTTATATTTTTTTGTGGTGATAATTGGACAATTGCTCATTGTTGCAAATAGTGATGAAAGCGAAAGAAATTTTTGGCAAGGACAAATCCTACATCGTAAATAAATGTGATATTGGTGAATAGTTGTTAATAGTAATATATTTTTTTTATTGAACTGAAAATTACTAAAATTATTTATTTATTTAATGGAAATTGAGCACTAGAATACAGATTACGCATTTATTTTGTTAATAACTACGAGGTTGATGATAATTTAAACAATAAGTTAAATTTAGGACACCAATCTGAGTGAACAATACAATCTAGATATTCTGATATCAGCAATGTCCAATTTAATTGTGTTTTGTTAAAATTCTTAAAAATGTTCCATGAGCTTTACGTTCATCATTTTGTTTATTCAACATTGACATCACAATCACTGCTGAAAGGCATTAGTTTAATAATCAAATTAAATTGAAATGTAATTTTTAACCAAATAAATGATCGATTTCTCTATAATTTTTTCTCAAATTTTCATAATAATTCTTATTTTCAAGTTTAATTATATTCAGAATTCAAGTTTTAATCAACAGGTACAGAAATTATTCCTGTACAATTTTAATTTTTTATTTTTGTTCATATACCTTCCGCCGTCAAAGAAAAAATCATAAAACAACTTCATAATAACTAACAATTTGTACAGTAATTATTCCTTACGGAAGATAATTAATATTTCCGCTGTGTTATCGTCTAATCGCTTTGTTTCCTGACACTCTATTGAAATGCTAAATTTTAACATACAAAACCTAAGATTTTCTCATATTTCATAAGATACTAAACAAAATAAAACAAAACAAAAATATATTGTATTTAAACTTCAGTTAAAGAAAGTAATTATTCGAGATTTAGACCAAAAGAAAGGAAATTAAAAGAACACGTGTGATGAACATCATGAAAGCAAGTCTTTGTTCTAACTTTTAAGACCCACTCAAAAGTTTAATCAATTGCATTTACAACTACAACTTTTACTTCTTAAATCTACGCAATGTACGTATTGTAACTTTAAATTACAATTACAGATCAAATTGGACAGGTGTATTGAATTACGATTTAGTTAATTGACAATTACTCGAAAAGTAAAGAAGTTATAGCATTGATTTTTTTATTTACAGAACCAGAATTAGATTCTTAATTTAACTTTTAAAAATATTCTTGAAAATTGTTTTTGTGTAATAGTTATGAACATATTTATGTGAATTAATTGAAATATGAGGAAAATAAATTTTAATTGTTTATAACTTCTTTAGATATTATCTAATTAACAAAATATTTTTAAATATAGATGTAGTATTTAATTGGGAATATATATTCCAATAAATCATTATTGTGGCTTAATTAGTTTTTGAGTAATTAAGAAATAACTAAAAGTTTGTTTTGATGATTGTTGATTCAAGTGTTTTTCGGATGTTTTTACCACAATACTAAAGAAGTTACAATATTGATCTGGTTATTTATAAAGTTCACTTCAAATTCTGAAGCTATTTTGAAAAAATAATTATTTGAAACTTAATTTTTAAAACCATAAATATTAACTAATTTGGTGTGAATTTATTAAAATTTGAGAAAATTAAAGTTTAATTGTTTATAACTTGTTTAATAATAATCTAATCTTACCAAAAATGGATGTAGAATTTAATAGAAAATCAATATTTGAAGAAAACATACTTCTATCATAATTAGTTTTTGAGTAATTAACAAAAAACCAAAACTTTGTTTTGATTAATATTAATGAATATATTTTGCGATTTAAAAATGATTTAACTAATAATTATTCTTATTTTATTTCAGGTATGTCAATGCATTTCTTATCGAAACAATTGAAGGATAAGTTAAGTAATACTCTTTCTACTCACTTATTAAGGATAATCCATTTGTAACCTTGTCAAATAATATTTCCAAACACTAAACACTAATTAGTCAATTAATTTGTGCACTCATTCGTTATTATATTACTTAATCACTGCATACACATTTTTCGTACACTTATAATTAAAAAAATAATACAAACAAAAGTTTAGAAAAACTTGATTGAGTTTAAGTCGACTTAAGTCGTCCATGTGGTCGCGTGCGCACGCGTTTCGGGAATACGCGACTCGAAAGCCTCTCTTCGACGCTTTGATTCCACAGCGAAGTTGGAGTAAGTGGGGACTTAACTTACTAAGCAAGCGAGCAAAAGAAAGAAATTAATATAATATTTCTACACATTCTGCGCATGTGTATGACTTAGACTTACACCTACAAATACGCAATAGTTGCGTAATCTAATAAAATATTTTACGACGTGATATTTGCGTACGATGTGCGTTGAGCATACCTAATGGACACTAAACGATGACTTAAGAATATGACTTAAGTTAAGTCTATTGGGGAAATGGGAAATTGGGGAAAGTGATTGTAATACTATTACGATTGGTGTTGATATAATTGGTAATGTGTATTCATTCCGTTTGTGCATGGAACTGTCAGGTGTTACGACACATTATTTAAGTGAGTTGATGTTGACATAGTGAAGAGTGAAGACTAAGGACTTCTTGTGGACGCGATTGACATCACGTACTCAGACGAGTATGTGCGCTTCTGCTTAAGTTGCAATGGTCGCTTCACTAACTCACTAATTGATTACGACATCGGAATTAGTATTAGTGTTAAGTTTTATAAGTTTTAGAAATTGCAATTTTTACGCTTTAGTGCTTAAAAGTAATAATGAATATTTGTTAAATTAGGTATTATGTATTTGTTAGACATATGTGTTTCTTTCGAGTATTATGACATTTTTTCTTTGATTTTTTTTGCTTTTTTACTAAAAAAATGAAAAAATATGTAAGACTAACATTTTTTCATATTTTTCTTTTTTTTTATTATTAAAAATGTAGATTTTTAGATATTTTAGGAAATTTTGGTTATTTTTAGGTATTTTTAGACGTAAAACTTTTTTCGAATCTATTTATATTTATATACTATTTTTTTTTAGATAATTTACAGAAAAAATGATTTTTAAAGGAATAAAATGTCTTATTTGCAGTATTTAATGTTTTAGTATTTCAAATTATAAAATTACTATATTATTACATTTTTGTTGTGTTTTTTTTCTTCTATTTTTTGTTAGCTTTACCTAAAAAAATAACTTTAAAACCCACAAAGCGCGAAATAAAGAAATGAAAAAAAGCTCTCGAGCGTGCAGTGAATGCTAGATTATATTTATCTTCAGCACACTTGTACTCTGGTAATATTAAGTTTTTAGTACATTATTCCTAGTGCAAATAATTGAACTTGACTTGCCTAATTGTTCACGACCTTATTTTTCCTTCTCTACCATCTCTATCTCTTTCGTTTTCATCTTTTCTTATTTATGATGTTTTACAGTTTTAGTAGAAAATTTCACTTTTTCTTATAATAATACCTATGTTCGGTATTTGTCTTGCAAGTCCAACATAGCAACAGGAAGTGAACTTGAAGAGGCACACATTTTTTAAAAGTTTTATTTCTAAATAAATATTTGTATCTGGGAAAGTGTCAAAAATAGAAGCGAAATTTTTGTTAGTGCGTGTCACACACCTCACATTTATTGTTATTTTATTTATTTATGCGTTATGTGTACAGACATAATGTCGGACATTTTTGAGGACATCACTCTTGGTTTTGGAAGCGTACGTGACAATTATCACATCCGCACTAAACCCGCTAAAATGCTAAATAAATTTTGTATATAGTAAAAGCACTTTTACTTGGGATAAAAGTATTGTTAATTTTTTAGTTTTTTGTTTATTACATGAAAACTACTTAACTTATTGCAATAATTTTTTTAGGAATTCATTTAGTATTAAATTGCTGATCTTATAACGTAAATATATTATTGATAACACTCTTTTATCAAAAACTACAGCCCTATTTCTATTGATTTGCAAAAATATTTTCAAAACTAATTTTAATTGTTTATAACTTTTTTTCTAAAAGTATAAAAAACAAAATTTTTGCTTCAGTAGATAAACAATTTCATTCTTAATCTATAATTGAAAGAATAATAACAATATCCGTTATAGTTTTCTTATAATTCAATAATAACTATCATTAACACTCGCGCCAAGCGAGAGTAACACCACTATATCTCATTTCTTCTTTAAAATTTTCAAATTTATTTTTTATTCAGTGCGTTGTGGCGTAAAGAACTTTCTATTGTTTCAATTAACAATAAAATACGCAATAATAGTTTAATTTAAACTTCATTATGTTATTATTAAAGTATACTTTATTTAAGTTTTATAATTAAATTTAAAAAATCGTTTAATTACGAATTTACTCGAACTTGCAATACAACATAAATTGAACGTTTTAAATTAAATACTATTCCTATGTAAACTTCAATTAATTAAACTTCAATATTTACTTTATTTTGTAAATGAAAGTTAATGAAATGTATGTGCAGTTTAAATTTATACGAAATATAAATTTAAATATTTTACTGTTTTATTTTGTTGGATTACAGTTAGATTTGGTAATAGTGGTACTAATTATTACTAATAAAAAATTTAAATTTTATACCGTTGATTTCGATCTTAATGATGATAATGATGATGCTTCGTTTGAGATCGTGTAATCTCTTTTTATTTCTTAATATTTCTTGATTATAATTTGATTTATGTGATTTCATGATTAAATTCCATTTGGGATCAATTCTTTTGTATTATAAAACATTGAACAAGTTGGAACAAAATAATTTATAGGTTAAATTTAAGTATAATATACTGTTTTTCATATTATAGGAAACTGTAAAGTCGGTAATCGTCTTTGAAGTGGCAAATTATGAATAATAGTATATTTCGCGTCGTATTTAATTAATTGCAAGTTTATTATGACATATAATTTGTAACTGAGATGAAGTTATGTCCTAGTTAATTCAAATTAAGCTATAGGTGGGTTTGAAGTGTTACAGAAAACTGTAATGTCGGTAAAAGCTCCAGAATTGACATAATTTAACTTCACTTACGTTTTTTCTTATAACTTCAAAACTATTTGGTAAATTATCCCTTAAATTTGTATGATCTTACAAAATCTATTTATCTACAGTTCAAAGCTTTTCAATTTTTTTCTTGACAAGTTTCGTGGGATATTTAGGCTTGATTGTCTGAATGTAGAAATTTGGTCATTGATTTATATTTTTATCTACAAATAAGTCATGTCACTTAAGTTAACGCAGCCTAAACTATACGTAGCCTAAATTATATTTTAATGTGTAACTAACTATTACAGAAACCTGTAATGTAGATAATAGTCCCAGAACCCACATAATTCAACTACTCTTACTTTTTTTTTACTCTAACTTCTAAACTATTTATTTAATCATCACCAAACTTTATATTCCCATAAAAAATTTAATAATCTATAATTCTACGCTTACACTTTATTTATTTTTCAATTTTTTGATCTTCTGTTGAAACCTTGTTAGATATTAGACATTCCGTGACTTGTAATCTTCATGTAGTTTGTACAAGTTTTGTAATTGATTTAAACCGTGTTTTTTTTTCTGTTTTACTCTTCTTCTAAAGCTACTCTTATTATTACGTATCGTGCTGGTAAAAGATAACATCGTGAAATTGTTACCCAGCAGGTAAACACTCCTAATACGATGGAATCATGCGTGATTTGATGCTGCAACTGAAACAATTTCACAATTCACAACGGTATTTCTTACAAAATTGAATATCGAACAAAGATTGATCTATGCATCTATGAAAAGCAACAGAAATTATCTATAAAGCAATAGTTTCACGTTGGAATTCTAAAAGTTTTAAAAATTAACATAGAAAACTAATTAATTAGGTTAGTTAAGCCAGGAATTGATTGAAAAGAAAAGTTGTCAGGATTAATTTTAATTGACTTTCGGTTTCTTCTTCATCTTTAATAATTTTAATGAGAGGAATGTTTATTAAGATTGATTTAAATGAAAATTTTAAGAATTTTTGTTAGAAATGTATAAAAATTCAATTAAAATTTTGACTAAAATCGTTAAAATTCAACTATAAATCTTATTTTAATGATGTACAGCTTCTCAAGTTCTTGAACTTGACGTGACTGACGATCTTGATGAATTTGTTGAACGTTGAAGGCTTGAAAAGTTGATTAACGTACGAGTAGTTGATTGCTACATCAACGCCTTTTTTGTATTTTTACTTCACTTGATATCTTTTCATCGCTCATCTCGAAGGAAAGACGTAAAGTGAAATGTTGAAAATAAAATTGTAAAATTTAAATTAAAATTAAAATAGATGTTTGAGTTGAAAGCATTTTTATTTTATTGTACGGTGGTGATACACGGTAGTAAATTAAATGGAAAAAGGAACGTTTTTATTACTTTTATTGCGCTGCACGCTTTACTGATCATCTTTCGTTATTAAGATGAGTTTTTTCGAGTTTCTGAGCGGATAGAAAACGAAATCGGAAATGATTTTTATGAGGAAGCTTCTCATTCATCTGGTAGTTACTTATTTATATACTTAGGAGAAGATTGATAGATGTTTTCTCTTTTTTTTTTAATTTTTAATTTGTATGAACATAAAATGAGGATTAAATTAATTTTTTGAGGTTAAATTAAAAGTACTTATGATTAATATTTTTAATATTTTTATATGTAATTTGATGGAGAATTTAATCAGTTATGTTGTACAATTTAATTTAATAAAATATCGTATTTAGTTTTTGAGATATTTGAAAATTTCTCTGCGAAAAACTAATTTTTTGGTAGGAAAATTAACAATTTTTGGTTTTGAGGGCAAATTAAGGTCAATTGACACATGTCTAAAATAACATTTATGTATATTAAGACGTAGAATTTAATAATCTACAAAATGGCGAAAACTAATTTAAAATATCTTTATTACTTTTTGAAATATGAAAGTTTTAATGAAGTATTATCATTTTCAGCCATAAATTTTATACGTTTTGCTTTTGAGGTTAAATTAAACTAATTTCTTTAAGGTGTAGAAATAAAATAAATGACTAATTAAACGTAGAATTTAATGCCCTACAAATTAACGTCAAAATCATAAAAACCGTTGATTAGTTCCTGAAATATCTGCAATTTTCTAAAAACAAAACTTTCTAGCTTAACTTAAGTCAAACTAAAAATAAGACTCCAATAAAATTCAAGATTACTAAAGTTTTATTTATGTACAATACATTAAAATAGCGATAATAAAATTACTAATCACGAGTAATTACACTCGGCATTATCAGGGCCGGACTGAAATATTATACAAAAGTAAGTCATATAACTTAGAAGACTTAAGTCAACTCATACACAATAAACTAAGACTTAACCTACGAATTAATTTCAATTTTGAGTATTATTAGTTTAACACACTTTAAAATCAGAGTATTTGTTCAAAATTTAAAAAATCAACTAAACATTATTATTTACTTAACTTAAGTTAACTTAAGCATTGACTAGTTATTGAATTTGTAAATTTTTAAGTATTATCCTGGTATTAACTAAACTATCATCAAGATCTTCTCTTTTTCCGCTTCCAATCTTCTTTTATGATATCCGCACCTTTTTCTCCGATCATAATCGTCGGTGCATTGGTATTACCACTAACTATTTTGGGCATAATGGACGCATCAATCACCCTGAGACCTTTGATCCCATAAACCTTAAGTCTTGGATTGACCACTGCATCCGGATCAGATTCCGGGCCCATTTTACACGTTGATGTCGGATGATAAATCGTAAATGTGAAATGTCTTAGAGAACACTCCCAATATTCATCCGTATCAAATGGATATTGTCTACAACCAGGAAAGGGCATTTTATGAGGTCTTGAGTTGAACCTCCGGAAAGCTTTGGTATCCGACACATTTAACGCTAGTCTTATTCCTGCGATCAATGTGAGGACATCTTCTTTATGCGTGAAATAATTTGGGTTTATATCTGGGTAGGTATTAGGGTTTGTGGACCTCAGTTTGATCCATCCGGTACTTTTGGGTCTTAGTAACAAAGGAAGAATGGTCCAGGTCTCTGCATGTCTTATTGGTTTGTAAACTGTGTTGTAGACTGAATCCCTTAGACCTGAGATTTTTTTGATATGGTCCCCATCTGAGTTGACGCTGGAAGCGGCAAAGTGGAACTGCATATCGGGCCAGTCAGGGTCTGTGTTGTATTCTGTGTTGAGGAATGCTAGGTTTTCTACACCTAAAGCCGTCAGAGGTCCTCTTTCATGTAGGATGTACTCCATTGCGGTCGCCATGCTCTGGAACCTTTCTTTTTGAAGGGTTATAGGGTCATCTATGATGAAGGTCATACCTCCTAACCCTACATGGTCTTGGAGGTTATGGCCCACTTTGAGGTCACTTAGTGTGCGTATTTTGAAGCTTTGAAGGTGTTCCTGTGGTCCTACCCCTGATAACATTAGGATTTGTGGGGAGCCGATTGCTCCTGCGCTTAGGATGACTTCTTTTCTGGCTAGGACCACTTGGGGTTTGTTGTTTTTGACGAATTTCACTCCGTAGGCGATTTTTGTTTTTGGGTCTATGAGGATTTTGGTAACCTGTGCCCGCATTGCTATATGAAGGTTTTTTCGGTTGCGAACAGGTCGTAGGAAGGCTTTTGCTGTGGAACACCTGGAACCTCTTCGGATTGTACCTTGGGCGAGCATGAATCCAGCTTGGTGTTCACCGTTTATGTCCCGTACCGGGTAACCCATTTCTTGACCTGCTTGGAGGAAGGCGATTGATAGAGGTGAACGCCACGGGGATTCTTGTACAGTGAGGTATCCACCTGTTTGATGGTAAGGTGTTTTTACCAAGTAGGGGTTTCTATTGTCTTCGGATTTTAGAAAGTATGGGAGGACATTGGGCCATTCCCAACCTTCATTACCAAGCTCAGCCCAATGGTCATAGTCCTTTTTATTGCCTCTTACGTATAACATGGCGTTGAGTACTGAGGACCCACCGAGGACTTTACCCCTGGGCCAGTTGCATCTGTCTCCGATCATGGCTAGGCAATAGGGTGAGTCTGTAGGTGGTGAGGTTTGATACATCCAGTCTAATTCTGACATCTGGGTATACCCGGAGAGTAATGGTATGTCTGATATTTCGTTTTCGTCACCTCCTGCTTCTAATAGTAGAACATTCCATTCGGGGATTTCGGATAAGCGGTTTGCTACTACAGCTCCTGCTGACCCGGCCCCTATCACTATGAAGTCATATTGTTGGTATATCTAAAACATAGGGTACCATTAGTTTACCATTAGTACCATTAAGAAATAAGGTTTTTTTATGGGTACTTACTCGTGGTGCGTCCTTGGGATGTGCTTCAGGGTCATAGTTTATATATCTGAGGAAGGTCAACCCCGCAGCGAAAATAGGCACCAGCCCGATTATGGTCATTGGGGTGGCGATGGCGACATGCGCGAACTGCGTCAGTGGGTTGAAGAGCAATGCCATTTTTGAGACCCTAGTGGTTTTTCTAAATATGGCAATAAATTAAATGGCACTTGAAGGACCTAAAACTTTAACAACTTATTAACATCAGGTACCCTTTAATTTTCATTATGTTTTTAGTGACTTAAGATACTTACCTGTAATTAAATCCACATGCCCATATTGATGTCCTGATTGATTGCCTTTGGGGTATAGTTGCGGATCGAGACCTTCTTGAGCTGGTACCGCAGCACTGACCGTTCGTGGTCCACGCCTGTTTTGATGTACAAATGTCTCTTCATATATTCCGATTGGCTGATGAGGGATACCAGGATTTTCTTGTCGAGATTGCTGGAGGGTTTGTCGAGGTTTGCAGGTGCGGTGGCGTATTTGGTGTCGTGGACCTGCGATGACTTCGGAGGTTTCTTGTAGTCGGCTGTGTGGTATTTGGACTCTTTTTTGTGGTTTGGCGGTTTTGTTTTTGCCGCTGTTGATGGTGGTAAGGGGTGCGGGTGCTGGTGGTGTGTCGAGGGGTGCAAATGCGCGGACGATGGTTGACGATGTGGTCGGTCATCCAAGCCCATAGCATATAGATCTTTTTATTCAACTAAAACATAAAAATAGGAGTAATATTTTATTAGGAGGGTACCATCAAAAGTTAATTTATACTGGGTGATACCAAAAAATTCAAAATATAAAATTTGGTTTAAAAATATTGAAATTTGTGGAAAATAGGGGAATACTACGAATTTTGTTAAAAAAAACTTCAGGTATCAGGTATCCTTCCAATTCTTATATATTTTCTTCAAAAGGGTACCGTTATTACTAAATTTATGTAAGGTCATTGAAAATATTCAAAAAAATTTTCTGGAATGTGAAAATTCCAAAATGTGTGCAAAATAATGGAATACCATGACTTTTGTTAGAAAAGATCAGGTACCCTCATATAATGTTTCTTTAAAAGGGTACCTTTAACCCTAATTTGACATAAATTCATCACAAATTGTCAGAAATTTAATTTTTTAAGAAAAATTATTAATATTTTTGGAAAATAAGGGAATACCATGACTTTTCTCAGATTAACATCAGGTATTCCTCTATCTTCAACAATACTGCTCCAAATTGAAAAATTCTTTCACTATCATCTTCTGGTTGTACTATAATGCAATAATAATGATTATCTCGTTTTTTATTGTGCTTTTACTATTGTTGCCCATGAACTTAATACACACTAATGTCTGTTTGTTTTCTGAGTGTACACCGCATGCGCATTTGTACATACTCGTATATTTTCACTCAAACATCTGTAATAAATATAATAATAAAAAGAAGCCAAGATGAGTGGCGTGGAGTACACGCATTACTTGCGGTGAAAATAAAACGTAGCAAAATGGCGAAACGCAATGGAAAAAACTTTTACCTTACCTTCAAGTATAAGTATAAGTGTAAGAACATACAAGGTGAGATCACAAATAAATTGATATAATATTAGATACTTTTGTGTGTGTTTATGTGTTTGCAGCTTTAAGTCAAGTTGAGTTAAGCGCACTTAGCGGTTATGCGCGATGGCATCTAGGTCACACTTTTAATTTCATTCATTTTTCGCGTTTTCCACACGCGGTTGCGTTAATTACCATTGGCATTGCGCCAGCAATGCTCGATACATGAACCAATGCAGCACACCGCGATCCGGAGTAATTGCAGGTGGGCTGGATTTGTGCTGGTTGTAATACACTTGAATTTCCAATCGAATTGGCATGTGAAACGCATCGAGCAATAAGTACATTGTTCAGTTAAGTCAATAGTAATTATCAAAGCGGAGAAATATTGAAATATTGAAGGTACCCTAGTGTACTTAAGTTAATTATAGTGCATTAAAAGGTAATTAAAGGAATATCTATTTAGGTACATTTTGAGGGTACCTTCAAATGTATATCGAAAGTAATTTTGATTTTTTGTTATTTTTGTTTATAACTTTTGCAATTTTAGGAGAAAATTGTTTATTTATATGGGGAATAATAGGTTATGAAGTGATGAATCCAAATGTGTTTTTATTTTTTTGTTATCTTAAAAATTGTGGGAGATATTAAGGAAAATGTTTGAATTTCTTTGAAATTTTTGGAATTTGCTTATTTTTGGGGGTACCATCTAGGGTACCTTTTCTGGAGGAATGTTTTTACTATATTTCCATCCCTATAATTCCAAATATTAATATTCTACATTGATACCTCTTAATCTGTAGAAGTTAAGGGAATACCTGTAGTTTTTACTTAACAACATCAGGTACCCTCTTAACTTTTGTAATTTTGCTCCAAATCAAAAAATTCTTTCACTATCATCTATATTTGGATGTATAATATTAAACTCACCTCATTTTGTTGCTTTTAAATCCTTTCATGACCATAATAATCAGTGTAATAATCCAAAACAAATGCGAAAACTGATACGAACAGTAAAAGTCATTAAATAATTAAACTCATGCCTTAAACATACGTATTAAAATTTCACTTTTGAACTTATTAAATAATCCAGCATTCCAGCACTGAGTGTTTTTCCTTTGACTTAACTTAAGTTGATTAAGCTTTACGTAAGATGCAGATTTCGACTTTGGTGGCGTTTTTATTTCACTTGGCACTTTTTGTACGTATGTATGTAACTTTCTGGCTGGTATTGTAAAAGTGCGCGAGCGCGCGCGCGAGTAAAAGTTTGCGTTGTGTGACTTAAGTCACAAACCGAAAGCGCCGACTGCTGGTGCTGCTTCTTCGCGAATGTCTCGGTGCGTGCTCGCGAACGCTGTCGAACGCCAAGTCGATGTGCTTGGCTGTTGTGTAGTTGGGTAGTGGTTTGGTTTGGCATTCGGTGGCTAACTCACCAACACGCAGTCGGCAGTCAGATACAATCTACTTAAGTATCCTATGACTTGTGACTCTTGAGTAAAGTTTACTATGTAAATATTCAAGAAGCAAAAATGCAGCTGTATATTTATATTGTGTTTGAGCTTAGTTACGATTTGTTTACCCACGTTCAGTTTGGCGGAGTTTTAGCGCAGAGTTTAGCGCTGGTTGAGTTGAGTTGACTTAAGTCGATGTGCGTGTGTATGCGCGCGCGCGCCGAGCAAAAGGTAAAAGCCAGGCATGCGTTGCGCATGCAATGCGAATTACTTTCTCCGACAATGTCGATGCCCAAAGAGGCAGAGAGGCATCAGACGTGTTCAAATCGAATATAATCGTGTATAGATTAACTGACTTAAGACGAATTGTTTGATTTAATTGGAGGTTTTGGGGTTTTTAGCAAAATTTTTGTATTTTTAGTCATAACTTTCGTAATTTTTCGGAAAATTATTGAGTTATACATCAAATTAAAGATAATTTAATAAACTATTAATGTTTAGGTCAATTTATGTATTAGAATTAAAATTTGTTATTTTTTTACTAAAATAATCTAAGATTGAATTTTTTATTTCGATATCAATTTGGTTTTTGATATATTTTTAATCATAACTTTTGTAATTTTTGGAGGAAATTGTTCAATTATGTCTCAAATTAAAGATAATTAATTAAGGAATACACTGACGTTTAAATTTTTACGGTGGCATTAAATTTGTCAAAGATATTAAACAAATTGTCTGAAGCATAACTTTTGCTTACAAAAATATTCAAACTTTTATTAATCGCTTGTAACTTCCACAATTTTTCAAATAAATAAAAATTCTCTTCATACATTTAAACTCAATTAAATTATCTTTAATATGTTTAAAGAATAAATTGTTTATCTCTTATTATACGATAGTTATAAACAATTTTATCCAACGTTTATTTTTCTCCTCAACTTGAACTCGTCCATCGGTCAAACACCTAGAAAAACACTTCAACAACCTTAAAACTTTTAAACAATAGTCCGTTCTTCTTCAATACTTATTTATAATAATATTCCTAGTAATAATTTATAAACATTATAAATAAATGTTTCGATTTTCACTAATTGTTTCGTTCTTATTGACATATGCAACGCTATGCGATTGCAGCACGCACATTCGAATTCTCGTGTACACTGTACAGGTATTATAATATTATAATTATTATGCGCACGATGTCTACATAATTTTCATGTCATATTGCACCATTACTGCTGGTTGCTGCATATTAATTTGATTTGCAAGCGACATGTGAGGAAAATTAAGTGCAAAAAGTGTTTATTTATTTGCAATGGGAATTTTATTGTTGAATAATGGATAAATTATTGATGGGATTTAAATATAATTTTCCACGATTGTTTATAATGAATTCAGTATTGTGTGTAGAAATTTTCAATGCGATTGAGCAATTGGAGTTGAGTAATTGATGTGTGAAGTTGAATGATCTAATAAATCATTTGTTTTTGTATTTGTTGAGAAAATGGTTAATATTTTTGTTAATTTTAGCGTTATGTTTATGAAATTTTTAACAGGGCTAGGTATTGAAATAAATAATATATATTCTCATTTTTGATCAAATATTGTGGTAAATAAATAAGTTATTAACAATTAAATCGAGACTTGAGAAATTTTTTTCCTGGAAAGCGTGATTTTTATGATTTTTCTTATATTATTGTTAATAACTTGCAAAATATTGGTTTAATTGTTATTTAATTTTGCACGAATATTGCTAACGAACCTAACAACATTCTCTGAAAGTTTGGTTAAATTTTATAAATAAATTATAAAGTTATAAACAATTTAATATTCAAGTTTAATTTTTTTTATGATTTTTGGTTTGTTTTAGTTTTTTAATTATAATCAAAAAGTTTATTAATTTATGGTATTGAAATTTTGGATATTAATAAACAAATTCCTTAAGAATATTTTCCTAAAATTTGATAAAAATCTAATCACTCAAAATAGAGTTACAACCGTTTAAAGATAACAATACCAGGAAACAAATTTGATTAAAAATACGTATAAATAGAAATTAGAAACATTTGGAATTTTACGATGACATGCAACTTACTCGTAAGAAATAAAGAATACAATATTTGTTCCTTGTCAATACTAGTAATAATATATAATAATTATTTTATGATTACTATTATATAAGCACTTAAAGTCTGTCAAACAATGCGCATGCAAATTCACATTCAGAGCCTGAATAATTCTCAAAAATATTTAAGCCATTTAAATAATTTAAATGTTAATCGTTACGCGAGCGAGCGCTCGATTACGAAAAACCATAATAAACTTAAACACAAAAAGAAGAAAAAGACATAGCGAGGAAGAAATGTCGAGAATGTTTAGCATAAGAAATACACGAATAAAAGCAGTAAAAACGATAAAAGCGAAACTCATTTGTGTTTTACATAAATAGGATTTATTTTAGTTGAGGCAATAAAAGAAAATATTTTTATTTACAGCTAAAGTATGAGTACTTCTACTTAGTAATTGTATGAGTCATATGGAACTTTTTCTAAATCTTCTTCTTCTTTTCTTTTTTACTGAATCACAAAAATTTGATTTTTAGTAGGTTAATAGTAAGTTATGATATTTTAACTCGTTTTTCAGTTTTAAAGTTTAATAACTTTTGAAGTTTTTGCTGAATATTATCAAATTTTATATCAAAATGAACATAATTTCATTGTTTTTTGATTTTACTATTTCGTATTATTGTGTTTCACAAATTGTTGTCGTTATTTTCTATTATATTAGTAAAAATGAATATAAAATAATTGCAATTTTTCACAATTTTGTTCATAATTCTGCCAGTTTTTACAATATTACAAAAATTTAAGCTTGTGATTGTGCTCAATTAAATTTTACATATTATTATGTTTAAATCAATTTTCTTTCTTTAAATATACTTTTGTTACGGGCGAAAATCTTCAAAGATTAATTACAAATTTTGGATAATAATTTTGTTGAAAAAACCGTGATAAAAGTAGTAATTACGCTATTAAAATTATATCTCCAATACTAAATCATTATCTATTTAATTATCTTCAAAATTATATAAAATTTTTTAAATTTACTCAAAAATTAAAACATTTACAGCGTTTTTCCTGAAAAATTCCAAAATAACTCCCAACATATTCACAATTTCAAACTCGTTAATCTATATTTAATTACAACTGCAACTTTATAATTGTTTAAATACTAGTGTTCTTGTGACTAGTAATTAAAAAAATCTATTAGTTTCTTCGATTAGAAACCGCCGCACAAAGACGGAACACATAGAAACGTGTACAGAGGCAGGTAAAAATAAAGCTTAACTGCACACCGCACTGCGCTGTGCTGGTAATGAGGTTAAAGTCAAGGCACGTACCTGCCACTGAACGGTAGCCGATCAACAAAAGCGACCAACAATGCATACATAACACTCGACAATTTTGTTATTAACATTTTATGCATTTGTATCGGCATACTCGTATGTAATCTGAGTGATGCATTTTTATTGTCGCTACGTGCATTACACGTTTTAAAATGATGATAAAAGAAAAACTATTGGTGATAAATAATTTTTTCTTGTTGATAATAATAGAGTACTTAATGTAGTTTACTGTATATTGTTTTTGGAGGTTTCTGTTGATAATTGTGGTTTTTATTTGTTTAAAAGTAGCAGAGTGTCTGATAGATGTAAAAAGTTTACATTATTTATTGATTACGTGAAAAATATTTGAGTTATTATGATTATTTAAGCATGATTAGATTGAGAATTTATTTATACGTATATTTTGATAATATGTTATAAATCTGATTGTTGTATAAAGAGTTATAAACAAAATAAGTTGACTTTTCAAACATTTTTCTAAAAAATCGTAATTTTGGGATATATTTGAGTATAACTATTTATTAAAAGTTGTTATCAACACAATTTTTGCACAAGATGATTTAGAATTTAATATTTTATAGAATACACAAGAAATTTTTAATCTAAGTTAATTGGTTTTGAAGTAATTAATAAATAACTAGTGAAAAGTGGGATTTTTTTCGAAAAATTTCGATTTCTATAATTTTGCTCGGTAATTACGTCATACTTGAAACTGATAAGATAATATAAGTGATATCAACTTATTGGGAATTTAATTACCTTTGAAATAAGGTATAATTTGTTAAATTCTACCCATTAATAATTAAAATATCAACAAAATTATAAAAAAAGTGGAAAATTTGTAAAACATGCGAAACGTGACTTTATAGAAGAGTTGTAAATTACCGGAAAAGTCATCGATGGCCATCAAAGCGGCATCTGGTGAAATTTCTCCATGGATCACTATGAATTTAAAGTGCGTTAGTTTTATGGCAACAATCAGGCGCGAAGTGCGCGAAATTGTAAATCGATGTGCCAAGTGCGCAAAACTAGGACGCTTTTTGTTCCCAACACACACTTGGCTAATGAACGATACAAACATTTTTAGCGATGCAGCGCAATGCGAATTTAATGCATGTGGCTGAAAAAGGCATTGAAAAGTCGAACAAACATCCATTAGGAATGTCAAGTGTTGCTCAGAAACGAAGAAACTTTTATTTCCAATGGCAATAAAAGACAAACCATGACAGAAGAAAGATCTGTGTGGCCACTTGATCACTGGAGAGTTAGTGGATATTATTTGTTAGTACTCGTAATATGGCGTTTATTGCTTCAGAAGAATAAAAATATTTTATGAGGAGAGTGTAGAAAATCGATTTTCGAATGCTTCCTTTGTTTATTTTTGGTAAATTGTTAATTACTTGAAGAGTAACTGGTATATGATAATTATATTTATAGAAATTTGTTTAGGAG